TGTACATGATCACACAAATGTGAACATGTGCACACATATGTACATGATCACACAAATGTGAACATGTGTACACATATGTACATGAGCACACAAAGTCCAGGGAGTAAAAAAGAATTCTGGCAAGTGGGTTGAGGTCTTTGGTCCCTTGCTCTTCAAAAAGATGCTGGACCTGCTGTGAACTGCTCACAGGTACCCCGCCTAGAGACTTCTGGTTGCTGCAAGCATCAGACTCCCCAGGTCCTACCTGTTCCTACCTGTTGACGACCAGTATACATTCTGCTCCTGAGCCAGCATAGCACCGGGCCTGCAGCTGGGGCAGGCTGATGGGCCGGCAGGTGGCTACCAGCTCCTTGAAAAGGACAGCAGAGGTCAGACAGACAGGAAAATGGGCTCCACAAAGTACTGAGGACAGAGGCCTGGTGGAGGCTGCCCCAATGGCATTACATGGTACGGCTGTACTCAATGCCACCTTTGGTGGAAATGCTGGACCATGGCAAAAAGCTGCAGAGCAGGCTGTGGGCCTGGCGGTAGATCCTGTGAGGGATGGAGCATGGGCTCAGGTTGGCTAGTGCTGAGCCCAGGTGCTGGATGTAGTCTGTGGGCTCTGTCAAGGAAGATACCCCACATGCCCCTATCTGCCTTGCCTGCATGCAGCGTCCTTGGGTCTGATCGATGACCTACAGTACTGTACCCATACAGCACAATGCACTTAAGTGGAGGCTAAGGGCCTATTAAACCCTAGAGAATATTAGAAAGGCTCTTTAAATAGACCATTAATTTGGTACTGCACAGTGGAGCCATATAGGACAATCATAAGGTAATTAACAAAGACTAGGGGTAGGATCTATAAGACAAGTGTCCCTAGTTCTGCAGAGGGGCAGAGCCCACCCCAACAGGATGTTTTGGTAGTATTAACCCCTGCATGTCCATTCGTGCCTGACTTCATTGTGAACTAGGCCTATGGAGCTTTGTATCACCTCTTTCTTGTTTTACTTTCCTCTAAAATGAATCATTTCTACAACACGCACACAGGTACATGTGATATATTTTGGGCTATTACCCTATGACTGTTAGGACATCTGATTTCCTTCCCACCTAACAAGGACATCATCAGTGGGGAGAATTGGGGATGAGTGGATACACCTTGGATCATGCAACTCCAAGGTCTGAACTTGAGTGTTATTCTGCCATTGTTTCCTTTCTCCTCTGCATCACAGGCTGCACAGGGGGTTCCTTGTATCTGCCATGTTTACTGCTGACCTCTAGAACAGGGTATTTTCCATATTGAGTAGATGAATTAATCCTGGGCCCAGAGAGTTAAAACTTAACCACCCTGCTGTGCTGCAGCTGGCAGGGAGTGCCAGCTTTCCTAACGTACACAACGAATCAGGTACACCCAACCTGCCCATACCACGAGCTAATCAAGGAACAATGCTGCAAGCTAAGTCAACAACTGTCACCTGAAGGTGGCCACAGTTCCAGCTGACTCTCTAGCCCTCTAGCCAGGAAATCATAAAGCCTTCTCCTGCTCCCTTACAGCAGTAAAGGATATAAGATGGTCCAGGGAGGGTGGCCGCCATTGATGTAGAGGACATAGGTGAAGCCATCTTTGAGGACCCCGCGAATGGAGTAGTAATAGGGCAGATAGTGGTGCTGCCTGAAGTCTCTGTTTTCATAGAAATGTATTGCTGTGTTGTTGGTGGTGAGGACGTGCAGGTAGATGGCTTTGCAGTGGTCCTGGGCAGTGGTTGAAATATGATCCTTCAAACTTTCTAGTAAAAGGGAACCTGGGGAAAGGAGATGAAAGTTTCCCACAGCAGGGCAGTTAAGAAGACATAGAAGCAGCCACAGCTTCTGCAGGAGTCTAGAGGGCTACACTCCCAGATCTGAAACCAGCCTCTGGTTATCTCTCACTGTTAAAGCCCCTAAAAGATTCTAGCTAGACAGAGCCCATGAAGTGCATGCCACTGTGGGCCACAGATGTATCCTGGAGGTGCTCTGGGACCACAGTGGACATTTGCCAACCTTTCAAACAGCAAAAAGTGTAAACCAGAACCCAGAGAGTATAAGAAAGGCAGGTCTGGGTAAGAAGAAGGACTGCTACTCTCTGCTGTGTGCTCTATAGAGTAGATATGAATTTGATGACAAAGTGTCTGATGAATGCAGAGTGCTGTGACTTCATTTATGTTTCTTATTCTGAACTAAGAACATCTTGCCAACACACATCACTATGTCTGTCAACAGGAGAGGTAAGGGAGGTATATTCCCTCCTGAGGCTGTCCTAGGGAGACACACTGGGAGTACAGGATGGCAGGAGGACAGGATCTGTCCCCAAATAGAGATAAGGAAGAAGAGACTGAGGGTCCTCTAAGCTGAAGACCTCAGAAGAAGTGCCTGGCTTGGGTTACAAGGGTGTTAACTGGCTATGGGAGGGGTGGTTTAAACCACGAACTCTCTGCTTCTTACCTATGCCGTGTTTCCTGAACTCTTTCACCACTCCCAGACTGAGGATGTATGCAACTTGTGTATCCACAGAGAAGCTGGAGGCTAGAATATCTCCATCCTAAAGAGAAAGAGAAAATCAGGGCAACACAGGTGCACAGGCTCAAGGCAGACCCTATCTGGGGTCTATGAATCCACTCTGCATATCCTGAGATGTGAAGCCACAGGGGGGGTCAGAGGGAGAACAGAGAGGCGAAGACAGTCCATTCGACCCACAGAAACAATTGAGTTGAGGCCCCGTTGGCAGAAGGCTGCTACAGTGCAGACACCTACAAGGAACATCTCAGGGATGGTGGACTGGGACTTCATGCCAGAACCAGTCATTACAACAGGCTAAAAGACAATGGCTGGGAGCAGGGGTGTAGCTTAACAGTAGAGTGCATGTCTGGCATACATAAGGACATTGATCTGATCCAAGCACCCCAAGAGTGAAAAAGAATATGATTGTCCAGAGTGGTCACATATACTCTGACAACAAGCAGTGACGGCCATCATGCTGTGAGATGGTGGACTAGTGGAAGTTGTATGACGTTTATTTGTGAGTCAGGGGAGAGGGCACATGTGTGGCATTGCTCAAGACAACCATGGACGTTGGTTCTCTTCCTCCTCCATGTGGATGCTGGGAATTGAACTCAGCCTGTCTGGTTTTTACTGCTGAACCATCTTGCCAGACCAGGTACAAAGCTTTAAATAAAGGTTTATAAAGAAAAACATGCTGCCCCTGGTGACCATGAAGAGCAGTTTAGGAAGCTATTCACCTGCTCTGCTGCCCATGCTGGGTAGAGCAGGACACTGGGCTATACTACAGAATGGTGCTCCATGAATCTCTCTTGTTCTGGACAAAAATGACTCTGATCATGAGTTTCTCATGTTATTCCCACCTCTTTTTTTTTTTTTTTTTTTTTTTTTTTTTAAGATTTATGTATACGAGTACACTGTAGCTGTCTTTAGATGCACCAGAAGAGGGCATCAAATCCTACTACAGGGTGGTTTCAAGTCACCATGTGGTTGCTGGGAATTGAACTCCGGACCCCTGGAAGAGCAGTCAGTACTCTTAGCCACTGAGCCGTCTCTCCAGCCCTTTAAAAAAAAACTTCCCCCCCACCTCTTAAGAATAAGAAACATCTAGCATGGGTAAGGTTTTCCCTTCCAAGAAAGGACACTGGGCAACTTGGCTTTTCTGCTTCATTTATCAAGCAGCTCCTGTATGTTAGGCATGGGCTGGGAAAGGGCTTGCTCCCTGCTCCCCACCTAGAACTCTATATTACAGTGAACCAGGGCATAGCAAATGTAGGGAGGGGATAAATTTACTTCTCTAGTTAACAGACGCCTTAGCTAATGATGGTAGCCAAAAAGATAGACAGGGAAGGGCCCTCAATGTTCCTTTCTATGTTTGGAAAGGGTAAACATAGTCACGAGATCCTCAGGCAGTGAGCATGGTGGGAGTAGACAACCACTAGAGAACAGGCCCAGGGAGAGATCATGAGGAAACAAGGTATGGGCAGGTGAAACAGCACCAATATAAAGAAGACCCAAGGGATGCTGGCCTGTGTGCTCTCTCTCTGTCTTAGCAATGGACACTGTGAGGCAGTGGCTCAGGAAGAGGCTGAGCTAGCCAAAAAAAAACAAGAACTAACCCCCACTCCAACCACCAAACAGTGTGCCAAGATATAAAGTATGTGCACATTGGGGTAACCTTCATTGGTCTGGGTTCTTAGGAAGACATGTTTCTTCCTCTTCCTCTGGGATGGGACTCAGGGCTTCCTGTATTAGACAAGCACTCTGCCACCAAGGTGCTGCTCCAAACTCACTTCCTTCACTTCTAAAGAAAGAACCTCAAGCAGGCTGGGTATGGGGTACACATCTTGGATTCTAGCACTTGAGAGGGAGAGGCAGGATGATCTGAGTTTCAGGCCAGCTAAGACAGTGAATCCCAGTCTAGAAAGAAAGGAAGGAAGGAAGAAAAGAAAGAGAGGGAGGGAAGGAATAACAGAGGGAGAGGAAAAAGAAAAAGAAACAGAGATAACCTTAAGCCAAACAAAACCATTTGCTGGTTGGTAGGATTTCCTTTCCTGAATGTGGTAAACTAAATACTGTTCCACTGCTATGACCAAAATTAACAGGAGACTCCCCACTGTAATCAACCACAAAGAACAGAAGCTTTTTAGCTGCACTTAAAGTCTTCCAGTCTGCACTTAAAGTAGTTGCCCAAATCCTTGAGGGTTCTGAGGCAGGTAAGTCTTTGAGTAGTCCACAAAATTGAATAAAAAGAAACAACGTTTTCACTAATCCCTAACTGAAACCCATCACATTCTTCAACAAATTAAAGCCCCAAATTATTGGGGCTCCTGTAACAGTGCCAAAGCACAAATCACAGGCATCTTTGTGTCACACAGCAATGGGACAGATTCCCAACATGTCACTTCTGCTTGTTCTTACTTCAAAATGCCCATCTTTATTAAGTACACTCGTGATCTTATTTATTACATTATTCCATGAACAAAAATCCATGGACTGGGGCTGGAGAGAGAGTTTAGCAGTTAAGGGCATGCTCTTGTTTAACAGTGGCGTCTTTCAACCACCTATGATTCTAGCTCCAGAGGGATCCACTTTGGTTTTTGTGACATACAGACATACATATTTGCTACTCTGACTCCTCTGGTCACAAGCTGCTGAGAACTGAGGCCAGAGCTGGCAATGTGACCCCATTGTAATACCCCTTTCAGCAGTCACAAGGGCCAAGCCTTTGGAGCACAGACATACCTCTTTATGTATTTTGGTCCTATTCTTTATTTCAGCTACTATCATTCCCACAATGGCACCTCTGTAGGTTGCAGCAAGGGAGAAGAACTTCTTGTTGGATGTGATATCACGATACCATGAGTCTGGGTATCTGAGGGAGAGAGCACACTCAGGTGAGTCATAGGGACTGGGGTGACCCTGCCTATCACTTACAGTCTCAAAGAAGCTACCTTGTCCACATGGGAATTTTTTATGTAAAAGATGTATGAAAGGGGGGAACCTTCCAATGAAATTGTCTCCACAGAATAGTTCCTGGAGAGACAGCACATGGCAGCCTGCTCCTTAGTGTGAGTGGAGACTTTAGGGCCCTCAGCGACCTGTGAACACTTGGGTGGTCTGTGAGGAATTCTATGAAGGCTGATGAGATGGTTCAGCAGGTACAGGTGTTTGCAGCCAAGCCTCAAAACTTGAGTTCAATACCCAGGACCCATATGGCAGAAGGAGAGAAATGACTATTGCAAATGGTCCTCTGTGAGTCCTCTGTCATCTTCTGGCTCTGAAGACTAGGCAAGGTGATTCAAGAAAGAACCAAAGTTCATGGGTATGTAGACTATGGTTTACAATACCTTAATAGACATGGGTGGGGACATGACACATGACTAAGTGACAGGAGAGGCTGATAGCCAGGCACTTGAGGGGTGTACAGGCCTATAACTCAATGTAGATCTACACAACCTCAGGCCATCCCTCAGCAGGGCCTCATTTCTGTGCTTACTGGACTCTTATTTCCTGAGATTACTTTTTAGTAGTGGGTTTGTTAACCTTTTTTTTTTTTTTAAAGAAACACACACACACATGTACAAACACACACACACAAACACACACACACACACACACACACACACACACACACACACACACACACTGTAGCTGCCTTCAGACACACCAGAGGAGGCCATCAGATATCATTATAGATGGCTATGAGCCACCATGTGCTTGTTGGGAATTGAACTCAGGACCTCTGGAAGAGCAGTCAGTGCTCTTAACCACTGAGCCAATCTCTCCAGCCCAGGATTGCTAACTTGAAGAAGAGTTTATGTTTTATCTTATAAAGCACTATTAGCCCACATTCCTAAGAAGTTGGCAATTTATATTTCAACATAGATATGGGGGAGGTGCCCCTACTTTTCTGCTGGCATGGAGTAACAACACGTGTGAGGTCAGGACTCATGAAATACCGATGACAAATCAGGACCTTGTTTAGCCTAGATGTTTTAAAGTTCCTGTCTGTTTCTCCTCACAAACAAAATAAACCCAAACCTGTTTTTTCATTATCATAAAATAATCTAGAAATAAGGCAAGTAAAAATGGAGGAACTCACAGGTACTGATAATCTACTCCACTTAAACTGCTGACAGTAATTAATTTGGTAGTATTTTGGGGGGTAGTAAATGACCTGCCCCCCAAATAAAGGTCCAGAGGTAAATCTCTCAGATCTCCTGCCTCATTTCTCATTCTTTCCCCTGAGGTAAGACATGTAACCTAGAATTCTACTCTAATATGGACCACAGAAACCAGAAGAATCCATTTCCTCTAAAGCCAGCCTGATTTTCTGCTTAAGAGGAGGTAGCCATGAAAAAATTCTCTGTCCTGTCTTGTCTGACAGTAGATCTAATACCACTGTTAATCTTGAGGGTCAGCCTGATTAGACTGAGAAGTACAGTACATTTCTGGGTGTGTCTGAAGACACTGAGCTTCACAATCTGCATTGGGAACTGCAGGCTCCCCGGAAGTGCAGAACCACAGAAGGTGGGGCTTGCTGCAGGAAGTGGGTCACTGAGGGCGTGCCCTTAGGGGCAACAACTTGCTTGTAGCTTTCTCTGTTACTATTCCCCTCTACTCTCTGTCCACTGTAATGTGAGCTGCCCTCGCAAACCCTCTCTGCCACGTGTTGAAATCTCTGAAACAGTGTGGAAAATAACCCTTGTCATCCTTAAGTTGTTTCTGTCAGGTATCTTGGACACAGCAATGACAAAACTAACACAGTCCTCATTCCAGAGGGTCCTACCCAGTGCCAAGAAGAGGGACTGCTGCAGAGCCCATGAGGAACCTAAGCAGATGGGCCTCACCGTGTCTTCCACCTTCAGTACATTAGGAGAAGATAATACTCTTTGTGTGACCTCTAAACCACAGTCCATGCTCCAGTGAACGTAACTCACCATGGGCGTTCCCACCCTTCATCTGAAGGCTTCCGTCACAGAAGACCCTGTCACATAAACTTGTCATCCTCTGCGCCTGCTAGCCCTGTCTTTTATTAAAGCACTATCAGCCATGGCGCTCATGAAGGGCAGGATCCTTCCCCTTCTTGTACAATATAGAGACGTTTTTATCTTCTAGATGATATTTTATCTTTTATATTTTTAAATGAAAGTAGAATATGGTGTGCAGTGTTCTCTCTCTTCACTCAGCTTTCACTTCATATCAGGTAAAGGAGAGAGGAAGGGAAGGGAGGAATTTCTGTCAATCAATACACTTCTTTAACAGAGTTTTGTTCCTGGATATCTAACAATCCTTTTTAAAGACAGGGTCTCTCTCATACAGCCCAAGCAGGCTTCAAACTTACTATGTAGCTTAGGCTGGGCTTGAACTCCTGACCTTTTTCTGCTTCCACTTCCTGAATTCTAGTATTCTAGGCATATGCCACCATAACAGCAGCATTGCATTTTTATATGTACATATCTTAATATATCTAACCAATTTTTTACATTGAAGTTGCTCCTAAATTTCCTAATTACAAGCAGCAGTGGACATCTTTGTAAGTAAAATTTCTCACAGAATCTCTTAAGGAAGGTAAGCAGCAGACAAAGAGGCCTGAGGTTCACTGCCTAGATGGCTAACTTTAGATAGCTACTTTGGACCATTATGGTCCTGCCAGGCCGTCTTGTCTCTTCCAGTCTCCGGAATTACAGATCTGTGCATGCAGTCACTGGAAACACAGAGCCAACCCAACACTCACTCGATGGGGAACCAGTCGCCACACAGGTGCTTCACAGTGTCTATGTCATCGTGGCAGAGGAGGCGCAGGCTGACCTCGCTGAGGGCACTGGAAGGCACCACCTCTGTCATTCACACCTGCGGGGAGAGGAGACAGTATCACCTAGAGGCCCGCTTACCTGTTCCTCTAAATCAACCCAGGAAGTTGGTGAAGGGAGATGGCTAGTGGCTTCCCATGACTGAGAGAACGCTCGTCTTGTGGTTGCCTTCACTCTGCAGATGGAGAGGAGCTCCCTGCCTCTGGCCCATGTCTCTCTCCTCTCCACTGGAGCAGCACCCCACTCTTCAGCTTCCCCCAGGAGTGACCACAGATCCTGCCTGGTCTTTTATCTCCTAACTGCTGTTCCTTCACTTACAGGAGGCAAAATGATTCAAAGAAAGACCTGGACTCAGCAGCCCCCTCAGCAGCCTGGTGGGAGGAAGCCAGTAAACTACCAGATATTCAGGGCAAACAGTAATGGCAGAGTGCAGGCCACATACTGCTTCTCCCCCGTGTCTAGCAAGAGAAAACTGAAATAACCAGATGCTAATACTATAGGGGAAGGGAGGGCTGAGGCTCACACCCATTGGCCTCATGCATGCTCAGGTCAAGCCTAAACCCAGCTGTTTTAGTTTGAGACAAAGCCTCCCTAAGTTGTATGTGTATATATGCATTTCAGGCTGGTCTGGAACTCACTCTGTAGGTCAGGTCTGGGGAAGTCAAGTGCTGAGCTTTACCAAAAGGGCAAACCACTATTCTTTTTCTCTAAGTTGGAAGCAGGTTAACTCAAAGGAAAAGGACTTTATATTTATCCTAGCTTTCTGGGAGGAATTGTGCTATCAATCTCCCATGGCTGTGGTGAAGGAATTTTTTATAGAATCACTACCAGGTAAAAATGTTGACAGACTCAGTGTCATCACTGAGGAATCTCAAGAGGAAATCTTCAAGTCCAGAAAGACTGCTCAAATTGTAAAAGACCAGAAGGAGAAGGCTGCTGCAGGGCAGTTGAAAGGCATGGACACAAAGGACTTAGCCTTCAGGACTTAGCATGTGCAAACAAGGAGACCCATATCATCAAGCCAGTCTCTCCAGTGTCCATGTCTCTAGCTATAACCAGTGAGATATGGTCCGAACTTTTGGGGGTTCTTCCAAAAATTGCTAGGCCTGGACCTAACCACAGCCTTCAGACCCAACTTTCTGGTTGCATAGGGTCCTGAACATACAGCAATAAGATAAGTGACATCTGACAGACAGGCATGTAACCTTTTACTCTTGGGCTCTCCAAATGAGAGAAAAAAGACAGACAAACAAAATGAAGAGAGACAAGGAGATCTAGAACCAAACGTAATGCCCAAACCTATACCATGAAAATAAAACTGAAACACTTTTGTGAAACTAAACCACAGACTGGCTAGTATATGGAAGTTATTATAAAACAGCTGTTAATCTCTTTAGAGGAGGTAGAGCCCCACAGGTCAAGGTCTTCTTCAGGAGATACATGCTGAAATATTCTGGAGTGAGCTATCCTAGTTTGTACTTTAAACGGAAGGTTTGTTTTGTTTTGAAGTGGAGCGCAGTCACAGCAATCCTAGTCAACCATGGCATCCGTGGGCCTCAGGGCAGCTGTTTGCCTCAGCTTCTCAGCCATGATTTCAGGAAGATTCTAAAACCTCTGAGAGTCATGGGAAGCATCTACAAGGCCAGCTCCACATCTGTCTCCTGGCCTAGGCAAGGTTCTCTCGCACCTGTCAACAGCATCTTTTACATAAGCTCCTCTCAGACAGGCCGCAAATACGTGTGGCACCTCCTTCACTTCAGCAGTACCTCAGTATACCTCACCCAATGTGATGCACCTCACATCGGCCTCTGCGTCTCTCCAGCACCCTTTCCTAGTCTCTCTGTCTAATTTGTAACTTGCTTGTAAGAATACAAGCTGCTGCCTCCTTCCCTCCTCAGACTCCATGCCACTCCCTGCAACACTTTGTGAGACCTTCATCTCTCTTCTGTCTACAGCAGAGGCAGGTATTATCGTAAACCTTCCCTCAAGCAAAGCATGAACAAGATATCAAAAGCTTCCCCACCTGCAAGGCAGGAATCACAGGCCCAAAGGCTCTTGAGAATGTGAGATTTCACAGACACAAGGTTTATAGTTTGGAAAAGCCAACAAAGAAGAATTCTAAGCTCCTTCCTTTAGGAAAGATGGAGAAAAGGAAAACACACTAGTAACTGATACAGGACACTGTCTAGTACATCAGCAATCTGGGCTCAGGGCCTGAAGTGTGTGTGGGGGTGAAGGCAGCAGCAAACACTATTCACAGCTTGTTTGTTCAAATGAGCAGCTGCCTGTGGGTGAGAAGCCATCTCCATAGCTGCCTGTCTGCTTCCAAAACTTCAGAGTAGGAAAATGAATAATTTGCAGAATGAATGACAAGAAACAAACACCCACCTCTCTATTTCCACACAGCATCCCTCTTAAAAAAACGAGTCTCCGTGCTCTGAAGGGAGCCTGTAACATATATATTGAGTACATATGAGTTGAGACACATCCCTTCAAATCCAAAATGATACAGGAGGATTCCACCTGTAGGAGATTCTAGAACTGGTACATACATACATAGATATTTCTTTCTATATATATATATATATATATATATATATATATAATGATACTAGTAATCAAAAAGTGCTTATGGAGGAAGGACTGAAGAACGGCTTAAGGGTCCTCAGAACCATACAGGATGGGGGAATGAGAGTATGGCCGAGTCAGCAGAACGCGTGCCTATAAAGTACAAAGCCTGGGTTCAATTTTTAGTGTTGTACACTAAATATAATCATGGCATTCAGGAGGCAAAGACAGGAGAATCAGATGTTCAAAAGCGTTCTTGGCTACAGGGTGAGTTGAGTTTGAGACAAGCATGAACTACATGAGAATGTTTCAAAAACAATATATGCACATATGGAGGCCGGACAGGATCATGAACAGTGTAAGCCCAGGACTTGAGAGGCTCAGGCAGGATAATAATGAGTTTGAAACCAGAAGTGATATATAGCCAGACCTACCTCAATATATCAAATAGCATAAAGCAGGCCTTCCCTGACACCAACTCCTCACAGATCTAGCTTATTAAGCTGTAGATTTGACCACATGTTCATTACATGTCAGGTAAAACCAGCGTCAGATGGTGAGGTCCTAAGTCCATACCTAACTTTTATTTCTGAGTCAAAGATTCTCTCCATTTCAAACTAAAAACCTATTTAATCATTAATTTCTCAAATTTATATGACAAAGTCAGGCTTTGATCAGGAGACTAGAACAGAGGTCAGAAACCACTGGCCACACGGAGGAGGGTGGCACACTGGGCTATCATTTCTATACACTAAACTAGCTTACTAGGGAAATCCAGCGACAAAAAGTACATCAGGCAATGTGAGAAGCACTCCCAACTGGTCTGGGGAGGGCACTGCTCTCCCTCCCCCAATCACAGGGACCACAAGGACAGTAGGACCTTTCTCTCAGCCATCCCACCCCCTGGAAGTCCACCGAAATGCTCTGTTCAGCTAGTTGGCAGCCCTTTTCATATCCACCATCGAGCTGGACGAACAAGAACAGAAAGCATAGAGAGCCGGTGGACGGCTGAGGCCAGAAGATGTAGCAGCACCCAGATGGAACCCTGTAGTGCTATCACTGAAGTGTCTGGACAAGTCTCCTGTCTTAGTCTGTGTTCTATTGCTATGATCAGACTTTATGACCAAAAGTGATCTGGAAAAGAAAAGGCTTATTTGGCTGATACTCTCTCTGTTTCAAACAAAAGAACCCAGTACCTGGGTTAGAGACAGAGGCTCGGAAGTTCAAGATCATCCTCGGCTGTAGAGAAAGTCTGACACCAGCCTGGACTACACAAGACCCTGTCTGAAACAAACAAAAAGATAGGAAAATGTCTGCTTGGCATACTTCAGTAACATCAAAGCTAGACTTCCTGAAGGGTTCATCCAGCCCAAGAACTCTTCTGCTACTGTACAGAGAAGAGCTACAAGATCCCCTCCTGCTAGAAGAGGACCCGAGAGGATCAGAAACCAGGTTACCCAGTTCAAGGGAGAGAGCACAGGGACAGAGGGATTTGGTTTCAGCATCTCTCACCTGTACCCTCCCTGTGGCAGAGTTTAAAAAGTGTTTTCTCTTCCTATTGTTTCCATTTATGTTTCTCCAGAATTTAAAAAAAATTACACGGAAGTGTAAAATTTTGTATAAACATCCACCTGATCACGAAGCCAACTTTTTGGTGTTCAGGATCCAAGCCAGGCCTGGCCTCCCAGGTATCCACCCTACAGCAGCAGCAGGAGACCTTCACTGAACACAATCACTCCTGTCTGAATTTTCCTCAATAATTATGGCGGATGTTATGTTCCCCACAACTAGCTTTCATACTGTTTGAGCCTCTGCAATGAGCTTGCCTTATTTTATTATTAAAAATAAAAACTTTTGAGTATAAAAATTCCTAACACACTTTGTATTAAACTCACAGGTTGTTTTAACTAATAATGACAAGGAAACTTTACAGTGTCTTCAAATTACGAGAAGAATTAATACCCACCAAGTGCTAAAATAGACTGAGAGCGGCCTTTTAAAGCCTACAAACCTCTGCATGGTGTCTATGCTCTGACGCTGGGAGTAACTGTTCTAAGCACAGATTAAAGTTGTAAAGAGGCAACAAGGAGGCCCTTGGAGGTGGGCTGCTGAGCCGCCCTGCAGAAGCATCTTAAAGGGCTCTTGTATAAGCAGCAAAGTACAAACACTGGTGCTTATACAAAACTCAAAATTAAAAACTTTGCAAATTTTAAGGTAAACACCTCATAAAAGGCTTTAAAAGCAAACAAAACTCCCTATATTTAGAAGGAGAGGGATGTTCTTAAACCACAGGTAAAGATGTGTGGGTTGCAGATGCTGTTCACTGCTGAAGCACTCACCTGGTGCGCATGAGGCCCTAGGCTCCATCCCTACCACTGCAAAAGACAACAGGAAAGCAAAGCCAGGGGCTGGAGAGCTGGTGGTTAGGAACACTGACTGCTCTTCCAGAGGACCCAGGGTCAGTTCCCAGCAACCACACATTGGCTCACAACCACTCTTAGTTAAATCCAGTTCCAGAGGCTCTGATGCCCTTTTCTGACCTCTGCTGGTACAGCACACGTGATACACAGACATGCACTCAGGCACACACACACAAAATAAAATAAATACTCTCTTAAAAGAAAAGAAAAAATACAACAGAAGGCAGAAATGTAAAATCCTGTACTCATTCCACCTCCACACAACTGTTACTAGTTTCTTTCGGGTCCTATGAGGGAAATGACTTTACATCAGGAAAGGTTGCCTGGTAAGCACCTGATGTGCTGTATATGTGCTTAGACTGTGCTCACTGACTAGGCAAAGCAGTTTTTGTACGCACTTCAATGAAAGGTTAAAAGGAGAGGCCAGAGGATAACCAGCCAGGGAACTGCTGGTTGCAGGGAGCAGCAAGGCTATAGGGTGAGTCACTTATGAACAGGTTATAACTGCAGTTTCCAGGCATCTTTCAAAGACATCTAAGTGTGAACAGCACTCCACAGCACTCTGGGAAACCCTATGGCATCAACATTTTCCAGAAAAGAACTCCTTTCAGTACTTAAAGAAAAAAAAATCACCCACCTATTTCCAAGCCTTTGTGCCCAAATCAACCTCGTTTCCAGAACAAATGGGAAAAAATGTCTTTCTGAGGCAGTCTCACCAGCACACTCTATGCTAGTCAGCACGGGTCAGAATCAAACTCTTGAAAGGAAGAAGGGAAGAAAAGGATTCACCTTTATTTTATGTATGTGGGTATTTGCTGACATGTATGTCTGTGCACTGCATCACGGATAGGAAAGAGCATTGGATGCTCTGGAGCTGGAGTTACAGATGAATGTGTGAGCTAACACGTGGGTGCCCCCATCCAGTGGGGGCCTCTGCAAGAACAGCAAGCACTCTTAACTCCTGAGCCACATCCACACCCCACCCCAGCATCAAACTCTCTATCCTCCCGCCTGAGCCTGAACAGGCCTGCGATTATGGGCACAGCGTCACAGCAGCTTCACTGGATTTATTGTAAAGATTTACTTATGATTGTGTGAATGCCTGCATGTTTGTACTCTGTCAGGGGGCCTGGTGCCCACGGAGTCCAGAAGAGGGTGTTAGGTCCCCTGGAGCTGGAGTTTTATTTAGGTGGCTGTGAGTTGCCCGTGTAGGTTAGGAAGCAAATCCAAGCCCTCTGAAAGAAAAGCAACCATTCTTAACTGCAAGCCACCTCCCTAGTCCTTATATTTCATTTCATTTATTTATTTATTTTTAGTAACAATAACTATTCCACAAAAATCAATCAATCAATCAAGTTGGGAACTTTGAAAACCAGTTTATTTGCTTGGGAGAAGGCTTGCCCATGCTTACGTGAAAATTCATTATATATCTCAGGCTGGCTTCAGACTTGTGACAATCTTCCTGCCTCTGCCTCCTGAGTGCTGGGATTAAAAGTGTGTGCAATTACGCTCTAAAAATATTCTTTTAAAGTAACAAAATACCTTTCATCTTCTTATGGAAACAAAGAGAACGAGAACTTTCTCCACTATTTGTTCTTTGTCCTTATTCACAGCCACCTTCTCCTCCTTGGAACTCTGAATTTGTGTTTGACATTTATTTCTAGCATCAGTGCCCAAAATGCCGTGCTATTCCTAGGGTACTGGGTTTAAAAGGCAACGTCACAAGTCTAGTTTAGGATAAAATAGGTAGTCGTCTTCTTATAGTTCGAAGAAACATTTGAAAATCTCGATGCTGTAACACAACTGATTCTCATCTTTTGGCCCTAAGACAAGGTCTATGTAGCCTTCATCTTCCTGGAACTCACTATATAGACTAGGTTGGTTTCGAACTCACAGAGATCCACTAGCCTCTGTTCCTCAAATCCTGGGGACAAGGTGTGCACTAGCACACCTGGCTGACTCCCACCAACATTTTGAGGGTGCGTGGTCTCTCCTGGCAAAGTGGACAGACACTGACTGAGGTAAAGACATGAAAAGGGGTCAGAGCTGAGACAGGGGACAAACAGCCATCACTTGCTGTCACATTCCTGGCCATCGCAGCTTGGAGCTGTGGCTACATGAGAGTTACTGTTATGACCCTGCCAACCTCTGGACTGAGGTACTCTAGCTACTTAACTGCTCAGCATTACTCGAGATCCCAAACAACTTCCTGCAGGATGTACTAGCTCCCAGGTCAGATACCTTTCTTGTCAGCCCATAAACACTGAGCAACCCTCTGGTGCCCAAAGAGAATAAACTTTTATGTATTTGTCTTTGCCATTTAAACACATGGACCAATTAACAACATGAGTTATCTGGGTTTCAGATAGACCCTCAACCATCCAGCCAGTCAGCCTCCAGACACCAGGAGGATGGTACAGGAAAGGCACTCTGCCCTAAAGTTCTAAAAGTTACAACCGTTTGCTGAATCAAATTCAGTGTCTGAACTGGGCCTGCAGCAGACCCATCAACTCCAGCACCGCTTTGTAGCCCGGCATTTTACCTGAAAGCACTTCACACCGCTTAAGCAGAACCTGCTCCAGCCCACACCCTGGCCTGGCCTGCTGCAGAGGATGTACCGTGGTGTCACACCCTGGCCTGGCCTGCTGCAGAGGATGTGCCTCGGTGTCAGAACCCTTTCAGGAGGCGGTGGAGATGAGATATAGAGCAGCCACCACTTCTGAGAAGACATGCCTAGGAAGCAGCAGATTCTACTCAAGTACATGGGACCACTATCTTATTTGAGCAAAGAGACATTCATCACCTAGAACTCAAGTTCTAAGGACTCCTGTCTCCATCTGTCTGTTCCCTGTGACTTAAGTGTAGGACTCTGTCCACCTGAGTTTCTCCACACTGCACTAAGAGGTACGCTGAGGCACCACTCTCGAGCACTCCTTGGTCACAGACAACCTCTGCTTCCTGGTATTAGTTCAGGACTATCTTTAATCCCTCAGATCTGACATTCAGAAATCTTCCATTCTGGTCAGAAGCATGTTGTTGCTATGCAACTTGGATAAGTCAAATCTAAAGATACTCTCCACACTGTGTGTGGGTGTGGTCAAACAGTGACAAAATCTCTTCAAGTTACAACGGAAAGTGGCTAAAGATAGTAAGGACAGGACACACAGACTTAAAAACACCAACCCAAAATTGTATGTTTTATGCTGGTGTTGGTGTGCTGACACCAGACCAGACTTAATTTTGTGATAAATTGTAACAACTTTCATGGAAACCCAGCCCAGGAAGCCTGCTGTGGGGCTGTCTAGGTCTGTAAGATGAAATTCTAGCAAATTACAACCTGTTTGAGGTGCTAATGCAAACCCTACTCTCAAGGGGTTTATGTCCTGTATATTACTCTTGTGGTATACAAAAACCCTAAAAGGAGCTGTGTTGACTTATGCTCCTTGCCATGACCAGTACACTACGTTGGAACTATGGCCTTTCAGAGTCTTCTAGCCTTTAATCCTATCTGTACTAACTAGTAGGTCACTGGTGGGTGTATCACTCTGTGTGTACTTATACACTGTTTTTGTCCCAGACCTTCCTCTTCCTGACATTTCGGTTGGTAACAAGGTCATGGGCCTTCTAAAACTCTCTTCCATGTCACATGGTTATATGGACTCCAGTCTTTGCATAGATGATTTTTGGAGTGACATGACTTTGCCTGTTGGGTCACACAAGCCAGCAGACAAGCCAAGACTAATTCAGGGGTTTTATGTTTCCAGTACTTTGAAAAAGGAAAGGTCCTGTGGCAACTTTCTTAATTAGCACTCCAGACACCACAGGGATCACATTGTTGGGCTGTTATTCTCTTCTTTCAAGATCAAAGGGTGACAAGAATGACCCAAAGGCACGTGGCTCTGGGACTTGGCAGAGTTAAGAGATCAATAAAGGAGCCAAAGTTTATGTTTATTGCAGCCTGGCTCCCCAAGCCTTGGGTTTTGACATCAGCGAGGCAGGCAGGCATTTGCTGGAGGTTCAGGAAAGGCCCAGAGTACCCTCTCCACAGCCCCAGCCCAATTTTCTCAGGAGAAGACAACAGCACTGGTCATAGGTCCCCTTTTCTCCTTGTCAAGTGGTTTTTTCCAATTTAGAAGAAATAAGCCAGAGTCGATTATGGGGGTCAGCTTAGCTTCCATGTGCAGGAATACCAAAAGTAACTGCTGGAACGAAAAGACGCGACAGACCTAAAGCAGGGTCCTTGGCTTTGCAAAAAGTCGACAATTACCCCCAGCGCAACAAGTCCCGCAAGAGGAGCTGGAGCTAGAAGAGTCGACCAGAGCCCTCACCTCCAGCAAAACCAGAGGATGCTCCTTTCCATCTTCCAATTCCTGCAATTACTGGCTGAGGGTCCCCAGAATAGCCAATTCCCGACGCCCCACCGCACCCCTTGCCGCCGCCACGGAAACAGGGCGCCAAGAAGCGCGCCCGCGCAGGGGTGGGTAAGGGGCGCGCTCTCCGGGAAACCCGGCCTCCCACGGCTGGCCAGTGCCCTCGGGGTCGCGACAGCGACCTCCCCACCGCCCCGAGTTGCACCCGCCGAGGCCCTGGCTGCCTCACCTCGGACGGGAGCCGGCAGCAGCGGACGGTGTCGCAAGGCTCAGCGCATCCTGGGGGAGCCGGGAAGCCGGAGGTGGGACTGCGGGGTCCCCCGCGACAGATTATATAACCGGCAGGGGCCGCAGCCGGGACAGGGAAGGCGGCCCCGCGGCACTTCCGCCTCTCGTACGCTGCCGGCGGCGCAGCCAGGAAGATCATTGGTCGCTGCGCCATGTAGCACCGCCCTCCCTGACGACGACGCCACCATCTTGGGAGCGGGCAAGCTGGCGAGGGGGGGTGCACTCCCGAAGCTGCCCGCACCGGCTGCGGAAGCTCAAGTCCTCTGCGAGCAGCCCAGCCGCCCTTGCGTGCATGCGTGGACGCCGGCGGGGTGCCGAGGTTTCTGCGCCTTTCCGCGATCAAGCCGGGCAGACGAGCCCTGAGGCCTCCCAGGTCCTGAGACGCACGGCTCCGCCACTGGCCTGCTCTTCCTTGGCTGGAGGTTAGTAGAGCTGGCGCTGGTTGCTAGAAGCCCTGACTCAATGGCACCGCCCCGCGCTCGCGCTGACAGCCACAGAGGGGTGGTCCTGAGCTGTCACTGCAGTCGGCAAGTGACAGTGGCCTTCAGGGCGGGGTGGGGGTGGGAGTTTTATATCCAGATGTAATTCAGAGATAATTCAGTTCTTGTTACCAGAGAAAGCTTGTTGACCAACAGTTTATCCTTTGCTTTCAGACACCTAAAATGATCCACATAACAAACAAAAACCAGAATATGTAGTCAAGGGCTCAAACCACCTTAAAGAAAGATGTAATTAATATCAAAGATATACATTAATACACAGTCTGTGCCACAAACTGTGTAAAACATCAAAGCCATATTCTTTTAACATTTTGAAAAGTAAGGTGTACTTCAATTTTAGAATTTTGGGGTTGTGTATGTAGCAAAATGGTAGAGGGCTGCCAACCTTGTGCATGGGGCTGGCTGGGTTCCATCCTCGGCATGATACAAACCAACCATATAGTTAACTATCTTGCCTATTAAGTATGGTGTGTATTTGCTAGCAGAATCTGTGTAAAGCAACCTATATTTGTATTTTCTCTTTGTGTCAGTATTATTTGTTAATTTTTAAGGAGGAATGGAAAATCACTCGGACAAAATGACTTATATAATTTACAACTCTAGACTAACATATCTACTTTCATGCTACTGTATGCAAGCAGCTGTGACAAGCATGTCTGGACCCATTCAGGCATTTTGGACATTCAATACAATTATACTTTGTGTGTCATTACTGAAATTATTTCTAATTAAACTTGCTGCAGACTGAGCTTGGTGTGTCAGCACACACCTGTAATCCTAGCACAGAAGAGGCTGAAGCAAGAGGGAATATGATATATGCAATTTGTGCCACATTCTTGAAAAAAATGCTAAAATATCAATGTTAAACCTATGTTAAGTGTATACTCCATTATTCAAATGTTCAGATTTGGAATTTCAAAGTAAAAGGGTGAGGTTATGAAAAGGAATTAGCCTGTTCTCCACTCCCCTGCATCTACATGCTACAACATAGTGGTAAACCTATTCCGTGGCAGGAGAGGCAGAACCCTGCCTGCGTCCTCATGCTATCATGTAGGCTGGGCTTTAGCAGCGTCACCACCTGAGGGCTTGTCAGCCTCTCAGTCAGAATCTGCATTTAACTCAGAAGCAGCATCCAGCAGGGTTCTCAAGTGAACGGAAAGGACAGTAAAGACTGAGAAGCACATTATGGGTGATGACAAAGTAAAGACATTTCCAGGGTTTTAAAAGAAACTTGCAAAGCCTTGGCTACACAAATTTGAAGAATTCAACACTGTCTGATGAGATCCTGTCTTGTGTGTATGCAGGCCCAAATTTGTATGGGCACACGTGTGTGCAGGTGCATGTGCATGCGTGGAGGCTCAGAGTTAATGTCTTCCTTGGTGGCACTCCATGTTCTTTACTGAAGCAGGGCCCCTTGATGAACCGAGCTCACCAATCCCAGCTAAACTACCTAGCTGGCTTGCCACAGGGATTCCCTGTCTCCACTTCCCATGTGCTGGGATTACAGGAGACCACCACATCTGCCCAGCTTTGATGTGAGCTCCAGGGACCCAAATTCCACTTCTCAGACTTGTGCAGCAAGTGTTTGATTCGCTGGGCCTTCTCTTGGCCCTAAAACCACCATTTTAAACACAAATGAGGAGACGGTTGCTGTTCTCCTGGAGCTTCCTATGCATTAGATACTGTGTTAAGCAAATCTCATTTGTCCTCAGGACAAGGTGGTCACTGTGGCATTATACAGTGACAGTAAATGTAGCTGACCCCTAAAAGATAAAACAAAAGCTACTCGCTCATGCATGAGTGTCCTTAACCTGAGTTAAGTTCCAAAGTCATCCCTACAGGGTTAGTCCATTAATGTCATCCTGCTCTGCCCTGACACACTGATCAGTTCAGCTAACCCTAGCCTAAGCAGGACAGGGTTGGGGGACAGGCATCTTCGGGTCACTCAGATTGATCTGAATCAGCACAGTGCAGTACTGACTAAGCATCCAAGACTCTTCTCTGCCTTCTAGTTTCATTATCTTTTGATGTGTTTTATCATATCTCTTCTACTTTACCTAACAGGCTATAGCTTTGTAATGACCACTCACTCCCAACTTCAAGCTACTGATTAAGTTTGCTACAGCAAACAAACAAACAAACAAAGCTGCCTCTCTCCCTTTTGGTTTGTTTCATTGGGAGCCCCTGTGCTGGCTTACTCATGGCCCCTTTAACCTTCTGGCTTTTGGCCAAACAGATTGCTAAAGGTACTGCAATGGGGGCAAGCTGGCAAGCTGGAGAAACCAAGCTGCCAGGCATAGCCCTCAAAGAGAAACCTTTAATTCTGCCTCAGCTCCCCAGCATTTTCCTAGCTTGGAGACAAGGATGGAATGAGGCTTCTCTGGCCCAGGATCAGCAGCAAGCTTTCAACAACATACCTAGGCTCTTTACTTCTTCTCTGAAGGCCTAAGAATCTCCAAAGTCAGGATCTCTCCAGCAATTGAGGCATGTTAAATATTTCCCCCTGTTCCTCTTCCTCATGGTCTTCATGCTCTATCTGGCCCAGCCCATAGGAAAACAAAGTATAGTACTGCTCTCCAACTCCAACCCTGAGTGATACTTAACACCCACTGTCTGGAGGCACCAGCCATGGCCTTACCCCCGATCTGTTTGAGGAAGCTAGTCAGTAGATTGGGAGGAGAGTAGAACAGAGACTTGTATCATGTTATCATAACAATATTTAGGCATTGATGAGGAATACTGAAAGTCAGAAGACACATTTTGTTCACAGAGGTTGTTCCATTCACAATGAGGCTTATTTGTTGACTACCTATATCCAAACAATCCAGGCAGCATAGTACACTGTAGAGTGCTAGATGACTGTTCTCTCTAGCACCCAGTACCCCACACCTCAGGAAAGTGTTGTACCACATATTGCTAGCTTAGAAAATGATCAAAAGTTTAAATACGGTTTCTACTAAATGGGTACTGATCTGTCACTGGAAGGGTGATAGGCTGTTATGTGGAGGTGTGCTAAGTTGGGGACCATCTGTATTTCTTTAGGAAAAGTTCCTAGGATGTTGGTTAAAATTGGTTTTAATTAAGCACACTTTAATTTTGGAAATCAACCCATTTGCTTGCCCGGGTTTTACCAATGCTCTCCCATTCCAAGAGTGAAAAGACTCCAGTGCACATGGCCAGTGCCCTTGCCTAGACAACCAAGGTGGACAGCACCATATTGCTTCATGCTTTTTTGTTGGTTTTTGTTCTTTTCTCAATTTCTTCTTGAGACAGGGTCTCATGTAACCCAGGCTAGCCTTGAACATGTTGTCTAGCCATGGCTGGCTCTGAATTCTTGATCTTCCTGCCTCTACCTCCCAAATACTTGTATTATTTAGATAGTTGCTAACAGGCCCTGCTCCATTTTTTTTTTTGTTTTGTTTTAATTTAAAAGAACCGTCTACATTTAAACTTTGCATGATTTTTACAAATGTGTCCAAGATGTTTTGAGTCTGACTTTACAAAAAGTGATTTTCTGACATTAACTATTTTTAAAAAAGAAGGATTGCATGTCTGTGCCAAACACTTTAGACAGAATAAAAGGAAACCCAGGGAAAATTTTTCCTGTCTGATTCTAGTCCTAGAAGTCTCAGGAAACCAGTTAGCAGTTTCCTGGTATCTCTTTAGGGATTTTATTCTCATGGCAAAACACTATCTCTTCAGAAATAAGATCCAAGTGTGACTGGGATGACATACATACCTGTAATCCTAGGACTTCTGAGGCCAGGCTCCAGCTTAATAACAAGCCTATAGCCTAGCCTGGAGGACCCTGAGGCCCTGTTTCAAAAACAAAGTGGGGCTGGGAAAATGGCCTAATGCATAAAGTACTTGCTGTGCAAGCAGAACTTGCGTTTGATCCTTAGAACCCACATAAAAACAAACAAGAAAAACAACAGGTGTGGTGTGCCTATAATAGCAGCACTGGGGATGCAGAGAATAGATCTCTGGAACTCGATGGCTACCCAGCAGAACTTTACAAGTTCTAGGCCAGTGACAGGCCCTGTCTTAAAAAAAACAGACCAAACCAAAATGTGGACAGCACTTGAACAGTGACATCCAAGGCTGTCCTCCACATGCATAGGTAGTCGAGCATGCAAGTGTATGCACGCGTGCGCGCACGTGCACGCGTGCGCGCGCACACACACACACACACACACACACACACACACACACACACAACCAGGGTCAAGCTTTGAAGTTCAATTATTTTCTTCATTTATGGAGGAACAAGGTATTGTGGATCCAGAACACACTCTGCTTTGGAGATGTGATATTATTACACTGTGTGTATGTGTATATGTGTGTATGTGTGTGATAAGGATTTCAACAAGCATTTATTGTGGAAACAGAATTTGTAGAACTGAGCATGAGAGAATGTATGTTTGTCATGTTAAATACTGTGGTAATCCTTCAAATATATTATTTTATTTTTTCAACAACCCTGAAAGGTGTCCTTAACTTTGTAATCAAAAACCTACCTAAGACCTTTATAGTATGCCCACTATCAAGGACAAAATCGTGACAGCATGTGGTTCATCACTAGAAACAAGTCCTTTATTCGGATCACAATTTTCCTGACATACCCTGGATAAAAACTGAATTTTCAAAACTAGCCTTTCCACAAAGACATCTGAACACATCTTCCCCAGGATCTTGTTTAAAAAGAAAAAAAAAAAAACTTTAAAAATAAGCCTCTTGCTGGTGAGCACGGCAGACAGACACTCACTGACCAGCATCTGCTTCTGCCGTGGGAGTACTCAGGTGAAGATTGACTCCATGAGATGTCATCATGAGGGGATGATCCAGGTGTGTGCTTCCAAAGGCTTTATTACTGTTTGCATGGATCAAGACCAGGACAGGACAGTGTCTGCAAGCATGGCATGAGTTCACGCCCCACTCCCCGAACCCATATGCAAATGATAGGCACCTCTAACCCAGACAAGAGAGGTAAAGAGAGCAGGATCCCTGGGCATCCCTGATCAGCCAGTCTAGCCTAATTGGTGAGCCACAGCCAGTAAAAGACCATCTCAAAGGAGGTGGTCAGTGGTCCTGAGGGTGACACTCAGAAACTATCCTCTGGCCTCCTAAGGTGTGTGGGTTCATGCACACATGAGCATGTTCAGGAGCATGCGTGCACACATCCAATCCAGGAAAAACAGGAGCCACATATTTTACTTCTAAAATCCAAAGACATTTTTCTACAATGAAATAATACAAGGAGGGCTGAGGAGATAGAGCCGTACAGAAAACTTGTTGGTCTTCTAGAGGACCCTCCCCCACCCCATGTTGTTCCCAGCACCCTCATGGTGATTCACAACCACCCGTAACTCCATCTGGGGGATGTGACACCCTCTTCTGACCTCCTTGAACATCAGGCATGCATGTGGTATACAGATATACATGCAGGAAAAACATTCACACACATAAGATGGATCACCATGAATGATACCACTTCTTAGAGTCAGGACTAAAACAGGTAGACTAAGTTGAACATGTGACCACAGAGTGTCTAGTGTCAGAATGTTAGGGCGGTACCATGGAAGGCCTGGTTCTCTATTTACATTGAGATTGGGCCTGGCAATGGGACAAGAGATGATGCATATACTAAGTACTTGTTTATTTCTTTATAGTCAGAGTAACTGGAATAGTCAGACACTTATTTAACGAAGAATATACACCTATTAACCTCCGCGTCTTTAAAACTCCCTCTATCTTTTCAGTAGTGGCAATTTAAAAATTAACACATGGATTATTTGTTTATTTGGTTGGTTTTTGAGAGAGGATTACTCTGTCTTGGTTGTCCTGGTCCTATGCAGACTAGGCTGACCTCAAACTCAGAGATCCACCTGCCTCTGCCTCTCAAGTGCTGGGATTAAAGGTGTGTGACACTATGCCTGGCTCACATGGACTATTTTTATAATTGAAAAAATGTACCTGTGTGTCGAAGGGCAGGGAGAGAGAGATTTGCTCTTGCTATGTATCTTGCTATGTATGGCTTGCCTCAAACTCATCCTGCTGTCTCAGACTTCTTAATGTAGGAGGGGTTATAGGGATATACCACCATACTAGTCTCTATCTCTCTTTTTGATGTATTTCACTAGCTCTGCATCCTGGAACTGTTTGAAAACCAGGTTGGACTTGAATTCACAGATATCTCCTGGTCTCTACCTCCTGAATACTGGGATTAAAGGCCTGTACCACCAGCCAGACCACACCAGTCTTAAGTTATTTTAATTATATAATATATAATCTCATTAATATATAAACATATTTCATATATTAATTATACATTATATATCACACATTATACTTATATATAAATATATTAATAAATATTTAATATATAACAAAAATACAATCTTGATTAATATCTTCAGATCTTTCAGAAAGACACTTGACTAGAGAGAAAACTTCCATTCATATAGATTTTACTACTACCATTGATATGTTAAAGGTAAAAATGGAAAATCTTGCAAATCATGGACTTTTTTAGATTTTGTGTCTGTGTCTGTGTTTATGTACATATATGTACATAGGAGGATATTTAAGTGTTTTTTGTTTATTTTAGAAATTATAAGCTTGGATTTATAGTTATGTCACAGTTACTTAATACATTAATAAACAATATAATCTTTTTTTTTCTTTTTTCTTTTTTTGGTTTTTGGAGACAGGGTTTCTCTGTGTAGTTCTGGCTGTCCTGGAACTCACTCTGTAGACCAAGCTGGCCTTGAACTCAGAAATCTGCCTGTCTCTGCCTCCCAAGTGCTGGGATTAAAGGCGTGTGCCACCACGGCCTGGCATAATCATATATTAATAGAGAAAAGTCCATCCATTTATAACAAAAGCTCAGCAGAATGAGTGTTCAGCTATTACAATGTATTGAACATCATCTCAAGGGAAATACAGTGTCATAGGAAGTAGATTTGGATTAATTTAAACTGCATATATTAGGTATCCAGGAAAACGTTCAGAAAGGAAGCATAATTGATAATGGGGAGAGGAGAAAATGATTCAGTTAAAACAAACAAGACAAAGATGGTAGTAGAAGATAGCAAGACAATAGTAAACAGTGCTACAGATGTCAGGAAGTGGTCTGAAAAGTGTCAACAAGTAATGTTTGTCTTGTTTTTAGACACATCTCATGGTAGCTCAGGCTGTCCTCAAACTATGGAATTGAGGCTGACCTTGAATTCCTGTTTTTCTACCTCCACCTCGGAATGCTTCAGTCAGCAGAGGGCATGTATCACTGCCACGTATGTGGCGCTGGAGACCAAACCATGAGTACTCTACTAACTTACTTTCCCTTCTTTGTTTACATTATACTTTTTAATCGCTTTACTTTCAGCAAGCTCAAATCAAACTTTCATGTTTCATATTTCTTGGTCTACTTGTGTAGCTTGGTAGCTAACGCCTACAGGAGCTGAGGGAAGTGTTGACGCCACCCATCTCAGGGCTATCCTATTCTCTGGTTAGATACTAAACTGTTGCTCTAGGCGTAGTCTCTGGACGCTGAAATTTGCTCATCTCTTTGTAATAATCCAAACAGGGTTCAAAGTACAGAACCATACATCTGTATCAGGAAGATTCTTAGCCCAAATGAGACATCTATGAAAAAAAAATAGCAAACACAGAACAATAGGAGAAAGATGATCACAGGAGTTGCATCAAGATGTGATGAACATGTCTTTGCTTTAGGATTATATACCGTTCTTCAGTATTTTAAAGTGGTCCATGTCTGTAGGGAAGTTTGTTCTTACTCTTTCATGAGTCATTGAAGCATTTGCTTTTCTACCCTTTAGGGAGGCCTTTTTAGCAGCCTCTTTAGTGATCATTTTCAGAGAACTTAGATAACAATGGATAGCTTGTCCTTGTGATAAATGCTACTGACTCCTCTTACTTTCTATTTGCTTTTCCCAGAGTTTTATTTTGTACAGTTAGATGGTTAAAGTGTGTTAGATCCTTTATTTTTTGAGAAACTTGGGATGGGACCATTACACAAAAACATTAGCATGCATTGTCTATATTCCATTGGCATCATCAACACATTTAGTAGAAACATTGGGGCCTTTATGTTGCCACTAAGCCGCAAAATTAGCACAACTGCTCTACTTTTTAATTGTTTTGTTAGATTCTGTAGTTGAAACTATCCTCACATTCTATCAAATCCCACTATTCTTCAACTCAAATGTTTTAATAACCATGCAGCCAATCCCTGAGTAACATGACATTAGCATAACAAATATGTTGGCACTGGATGGGATGGCCTCAACTTTAATCCCAGCACTTGGGTGGCAGAAGTAAATGGTGTCTTGTATGTTGGAGACCAGGCTGGGCTACATAGCTAGTTCTGGAGCAGCCAAGGGTATAGAGTAAGACCCTATCTCTAACGAAAGAGAGGAGACCTGGGGTTTATTTAGAAATTTCAAGGTGCTAATCCTGTTTGTTGTCCCCCCACACTTTCATAAGCTGGCAATTCTTTTCACTTAACATCTTATAATGTTTTAAATTACACCCTGTATTATCAAAGAGAGGCATTATGGGTTCTTTGCAGCGGAGGAAAGCAAAGCTAAAAAGTGTCCAAATGTGGGTCTGTGTCCAGCTACTAAGGGATACTGAGGCAAGACCTTAAATGCAGGGTTTGCTGGGCTACACAGTGAGTTCAGGGTTAGCTTGGGTCAACCTCGTTTTAAAATTAAAGTTCAAAAAAAGGATAGGGGTCTGAGTACAGCTCAGTGGTAGAAAGTCTACTATGTGTGAAACCGTAGGATACCCTCATACCCGCCGTAGGATCACCCTCAGTACCACAAAGGGGGGGAAAATGGCACAATCATCCAGTTAGTGACAGTTCTAGAAAGAGCTCGACTTTATGATTTTGAATCTTCAGTTTGCTGCTCAGTGTTGGTTATAAGAGACAAATGCCACCGGGGCAAGTCCAGACATCCTGCGAAGGAAATCAGCGATCTATCCCAGCTCGATGTCCACTATGGGTTCAATGGGTTGAACTACACCTGTCGGGTGCAGTGCCTCATGCCCCTAGAATACTTTGGGGTGGGACACGAGCAACCAGGCCAACCTAGCCTGAACTTGTGATTGCACAAAATAACACCGTAGCCCCACAAGCCATCTGAGACACAGGGCTCGGGCCCAAGCTGAGCCTGGGTCTCGGAGGCCTCTCATTCGCCTCATCCCATCCGACAGAAAGCTCAGCCGCCCCCCTCCCCGCCGCGTCTGTGTGTTCCCGTATTCCGTGACCGACTCCAGGGTGGTCCCGCCTCTATTTTCGCAATCACCGTGTCCCTCAGGGACCATTCTACTGCTCCGACTGAACCCAGCAACAGGTGGGGGCACTCACCACCGAGACCCAGCCAGAGGAACCGGAAATGGATGCTGGTAGACGCTCAGGACTAACTACGTCTCTCAGTTGCCAGGTGCGATTCAGGTCCTCAGGAAGCTGCTCAATTGGTCCATTAAGGAGGGACCGCCGCCTCGGGAGTACGCTGGCCAATCAGGATGCAGGATGGCTGAGCCGCGGGTGTGGGGGGGCGCGTCGCTTCCGGCGGTTTCCTCACAGCTACTGCGTGGGGAGCATGGGAGCGTGGGAGTTTTGTGGTGGCCTCCGCCTCCTTTGTGGCGTCTTGGCTAGGCGTGGCTTCATGCTGCTTCTGCTGGGCTGGGCGAGGCTGAGGCTGTCAGTGCTCCGGGGCTGCTGAGTGTGGCCGTTTCAAAGCTGTTTTGGAGAAAGAAGCTGTCACCTCAGATTCTCAAAGGAGCTTCGAGGAGCCTGAGGGCGGAGTGGAAAGGCCTGGCAGCGGAGTCGGAGACTCTCCACTTGAAGTGTTGTCCCAGCGTAGGGACTTGAAGGAACCCTTGGTTTCCCCAGATGGCGTCCACGCTCCCCACATCCGATGAGCAGGTGAATTCTGTCGCTGTTTTCCTTCAGGTGCCCTGACCTGGCAGCAGGGTTAGACGCGCAGGTCCCGAGGCACCTCCTCAGATAGCCCTTTGACCAAACTGTCCTCCTCGTTCCTTGACTTACCAACTTCCTCATTTCAGAATCATCAGGTGGAGAAGAGCCCTGGCAGGGGGTGGTCTATAACATTTTCTCAAAGTGTCTTGCTGGAATGCGTCTCCAAATGCCAGATTCCTAGGCTTCACACCTGTTGAATAATGATAATTAAAGCCCAGGAGATTTTTAATCACACCAAAAGCTCTGTGGGTTTATAGGAACAGTAAACTTAGGAGAGAACTAGAGCTTGAAGTGGCTGGGGGAGCTGAGCGATCACTGTGATGAAGAAGAAATACAGACTAGCAAAGAATGATGTTAGGACACTTGTGAAAACTGTTTCTCAGGAGTCTTCTTACTGGGCTGGCCAGCCTTCCCCACCCTACGCCCCTTTCCCTTCCCCTCTTAGAGATTCCTTAATGATTTCTCTCCCCAAGACTTGTTCACTTCTCTTTTCAGGAAAGACTGCATTCCCACGATGTACTACTGTCTTGATTCTCATACCACCACTGTTTGAAAATTCATGTTTATGCTGTCTCTCCTGGCCCTACAAAAGCCATAGAGTCCCCTCAGGGAGGAATGTTTTACACCAAGCCTTTTCCCCTTAGCATGCGAAGGGGCTTAACTCTTCTTTTCAGCCTTCCTAGATAGACACTCAACTGACCTGCTAGCTTGTTGTACTAACAGTGTTCTCCTGTTTCAGGAACCACTGCTATTTGAAGATCTGGATGTATATTTTTCTCAAGAGGAATGTGTGAGTCTGCACACTGCCCAGAAGACCCTCAGCGGAGAAGCCCCATTGGAGTGTTTTGAGGATTTGGACTTGATAGGTAAACCAGCCGTTTCTCCTGCACTGTGGAGCTTTCATCATCTAGCATGAACATCTTAAGCCTTGTCCACTCTGGTGGTGGATTGAGACCTGTCTGTGACACACACACACACACACACAGTGTGTTTATCACAATATATATGTACATATGGCATGTGTGTGTGTGTGCGTGTATTTTTATGTCTGTAGCAAGAACTGTATGAGAGAAGTTTTGTAGTCAGATGATTTCCTTGTGAGCATGAGTGCCAGTGCACATGCATGGGTATGTGCAGGCCAGCAGTGATGTCAGTTGACTTTCCCATTCGTTCTCCACTCTGTTTACTGAGGTCTAGTCAGGCAGTTTGCCTTGGGATCCCATCTCTACATCCTGAGTACTGGGATAACAGGTGGGCCACCACATCTACCTGGCTTTTACTGGATGCTGGGGATCCAGATTCCTGTCCTTAGCATACACCGTGATCATTTTATATGCTGAGCCATCTTCCTAGCCCTGGAATGATTTCTTAAAAGAAACTCAGTCTACAGTGACCAGGGTTTAACATATGTGCCAATACCTTGTAATTTCCTTAAGTAATTGTTGGAGTCAAATTAATTTTCCTTGGGAAACTTCATTAACATAGATACTGTCATTTGCTAAAGACTGGAAACTGATTTTCACTTAAGGAATTATTCTACTTTTCTAACTTAAGGGTAACCATATGCAGTAGCCCTATGCCTGCGTAGATATTATGTCTTGTCTAAGTTTGGGCATCTAAAATATTTTTCATAATTAATGGTTTATATTTTCCACTTCAGCCATCTTCATGTTCTCATCTTCATGTTTATATATATACACACACACACACACACATTATACATTATACACACACACACACACACACACTTACCAACCCAGGGTCCCCTTGGTTCTTTCTTGCCCACCTTTTCAGTGTATCCTTCTAGCCTGTCTCCAATTCTTTGTGTCACACATGGATTCACAGAAACACTTGGGTTCACAGAAGCACTTTCTACCAGGGACCACAAGTGGCCACACTTGGCTGAGATACTATTAACTATCCTTCCTATCCTTCTTTGGAGTCTCTCCAGAATTACTCTTATCTTCCAGTAGCCTGCCTGCAGGAGCCCCTCCCCCACCCTGCTTTCACTCCCTCAGCACTCTGCTTCCTGATGCTGACCCTTGTCCACCTGGCTCTTTCCTGCTGCCCTTATCAGACTCAGTATCTCACCTACTAACCTGTGGAAGAACTCTCCACCAGGGAACCCACCGCCACAACTCCTGCATAGAATCCAGTGTAGACAACAGTAACCAAACATGTTTATAAACATAGTAAAAATAATATAACAAACTTATAGATACAGTATATTTATAATAACTCTTTTGCTACTTTCTTTGCTGATTTTATTTATTTATTTGATTTTACGAGACAGAGTCTATGTAGTCTTGGCTGTCCTGGAACTCCTTATGTAGACCTATAGACCAGGCTGGCCTTGAAACCACACAGGTCTACCATCTCTACCTTCCAAGTGCTAGAATTATAGACATATGGACACACTTATTTTAAATATTTGTATCATTTCTGGATCTATTTGTATTGATTGGCTTTTCTTCTTGTTATGAGTTGTGATTCCTATTCTTGACTGGGTTTTTAGACATAGGTTATTTTATATTTTTTATCTCATATTTTTTAAAAAGATCTATTTATTTTTATATATGTGAGTACATTGTTGCTATTTTCAGACACAGCAGAACAGGGCATCAGATCCCATTACAAATAGTTGTGAGCTACCATATGGTTGATGGGAATTGAACTCAGGACTTCTGGTAAAGCAATCAGTGCTTTTAACCGCAGAACCATCTCTCCAGCCCCCATCTCATATTCTTTTAAAGATTTATTTTATTTTTGTGTATATGAGTATTTTTCCTTAATGTATGTCTGTGTACCATGTGTAAGCCTGGTGCCCTAGGAGGTCAGAAGAGCATGGTGGGTCCCAAGAACTAAAGTTACAAATGATTGTGAGTTACCATGTGGTTAGAAATTGAACCCAGATCCTCTGGAAGAACATCTGGTGCTGGTAACGTCCAAGCCATCTCTCCAGCCTCTACAGATGTGATTAAAAAAAAGAAAGAAAGAAAAATTTCAACTTGGAATTAATTGACTCTGCAGCCATCCCCTGTACAGGTATTTAGGGATGGCTATATTTGGAGAAGTATTTAAAAGGAGTTGTTTATTACCTTGTTTAGGTTTTGTCAGCCCTCCTTGAAGTAAGACAGTCAGTATTTGCCTGCAGTCTGTACATACACAGCAGCTCTATTATGGTCATTTCTCCATGAAGCATGTAAAAGTGAGGAAGGGCCTCCTGGGACTTGGAAGCCAGGAACCACACAGCTCTGAGAGGAGAAGGTATCCAAATAGAAGAGCAATCTGAGACATAGGGGCCCAGGGATGACACAGCTCTGAGGTGGGACAATGTCCCAGTGGAAGGGCATCCTGAGACACGGGGAACCACACAGCTCTGAGAGGAAATCACACAGCAGAGGATTCGTAGCTCCCAGGGGAGGGGATCCCCAGCTGAGCTCAGGAGCCTCAGTCTTATTCCTTCTCTTTGCCTCTTCATTGCTTCTTTTCCTCTTGGCTTCTTCTGACGAGTTATACCAGGCAGAAAATATCATGAGAGAGGAGGAGGGTTCAGGATATAGAGGAACCAATTCAGGGATGGCTGCCTCTTGCTCTCGGGAGTGGACACCAGGGAACTGGACAAAGGGGCAGTGCTTATATAGGATTTCTGAGGGGGTAGAGCTTCTCAGGGCAGAGATTTCTAGAGTGAGGATTGGTGGCATTTCAAGTTCTCAACTTTGGGGATAGAGAGGAGGTACTGCCATTGTGGACACCTCCTGTGGGACAGCCCCTGCAGTGGTGTTTAACAAAAGTGGTAGGCTGAGGTGGGAAGAGGGTGTTGCCACCGTGGACTGCTTCTCATAAAGGCAGTAGGCTGAGCAGGAAAGAGGCTCTTTCATGCTCCTGCTGAGATGGGAAAGCAGATGAGCCGCTGTGGACAGCTCCCTGGGCCAGCTGCCAGCCAAGGTGGCATGGTGCTGTTTTGACAGAACCTGCTGTTTGTTTGTTTGTTTTTTGACAATTGCCTGGGCATCTTACCAAGGTGGAGGCCGGGGGTGGGGCAGAAAAGAGGGGCTGGCAGCCAAAGTCACCACACACCGCTTAGGAACTTCAAGATGGAATTCTAGAGACCTTCTAGGGATAGGTAATTTGTTTATTAAAGTAGTTGTCTTCTCTTTTCAGATAAATATGTCTAATTTCTATTCCAGTTTTGACTACTCAACTCTCACTTGAGATCATGAAAATTTCCTAGGACCTAAATAGAGTAAGCAGAAAAACTACATTTGTAGGTATTGCCTACCAAGGTCCTCAGTACCTATCCCACTGACGCCTGTTTCTGAGACATTCTCCAGTCCTTCTCCTTGCAGATTGACCTGGAAGCTTGCAGTGCACCACATGGATAGACTTAGGATTTGGGGAAGTCAAGAGGCCTCTTGGCTCCTAATTTTGTTTATGAACTAGTATTCAGTTTCCTGGTCTTCTGTGTAACTATTTTAACATGTTCTTTCTTTAGTGTCAGTTAAAGGTGGTGTCTGTGTTTTGTTTTTATCATTAGGAGGGGAAGACCAAACTGAAACCAGTCAGAAGTTAAGCCTAGAGCCTGTGGAACTTGAAGAGCTGTCCCTGGAAACATACTCCCTTGCCCATTACTCTGACCAATCTGAGGAGGATGTTGAAATACATGAAAGGAAAATGTCAGACGGAACTTTGACTTGCAAGACCAAGCTTATAAGCCTCTTGGTTACCATTGACAACCAAACCCCATTAGTAGAGTTATCTCAGTGTTTAGGAGTCAAAACACTTTCAGATATAATTGAAGTTCCTTGGGAAGAAGCCAAAAATGTGTACAAGTGTCCTGACTGTGACCAAAGCTTCAGTGATAATACATACCTTGTTTTGCATCAGAAAATTCATTCAAGAGAGAAAAAGTATAAATGTGGTACCTGTGAGAAGACCTTCAGTCACAGAACCAACCTGAGGACACACAAGCGAATCCACACTGGTGAGAAGCCTTACAAGTGTACTGAGTGTGCTGCCAGCTTCCGACAGCAGTCACACCTGTCCCGGCACATGACTAGCCATTTCAAGGAGAAACCACATACGTGTAGTGTATGCGGGAGAGGTTTTATGTGGCTCCCAGGACTGGCAGAACATCAGAAGAGTCATACTAATGCTTATGAATGTGCTGACCATGATCAAGAAACAAATCTGGCTTTGCCTGAAGAAAGAGGCTCATCAGACACACCATCCCAGCACACACAGTGTGTGAAGACCTTGGAGCAGCCCTCAGACCCTGCTCTCCCCGAGAAAGACCATAAGGAGGACTCTAAACACTGCAGTATTGACGATGAAGACTTTTTTTCATTCTCCAGATTCAAACCCTTACAGTGTCTTGATTGCGACATGACTTTTCCTTGTTTTTCGGAGCTTGTCTCTCACCAAACCATTCATGACATGGAAAAACCTCATAAGTGCAAAACATGTGCAAAACCTTTTGCTTTAGAGTCAGAACTTGCATCCCACGAGAAGAGCCACAGAAGAGAAGAGCCTTTTAAGTGTACGGTGTGTGGGAAGAGCTTCGGAGTAAAGATGCAGCTCGTCACTCATAAACGAGCCCATAGGAGAAGCAGCAAGTAAATACATGCTTTTGCTCCTGAGAGCCTTTGTGTCTGTGTGATAGTAAACACGGCCGTACACAGGGCGCTGTGCTAGGCAAGCACTTTACACGAGTTCCATGGGGTATCACAGTATTAGTTAACACATCTGATTAGATCTGAGGCAATGAATCAGTGTTACATAGATAGTATGTGAAGCCAGGATTTGAACTCAGTTTCTGATCAAATTCCATTTACATGAGCCAGAGAAACATAAAACTTTAAAATTGAGTTTTTGTCTGCTGGGTATGGTGGCTCACACCTTTAATCCCAGCACTCAGGCAGCAGAGACAGGAGGATTTCTGTGATACAGAAGCCAGCCTGGTCTATATAGTGAGTTCCAGTCAAACCAAGGCTACATAGAGGGACTCTTTCAAAAAACCAAAATAATTCAGTTTTTGTTAAGATGAAGGTTGTTTTACAATTCTTTCTTCAAAAATGTGATTTCTAAGGATATTTTGGGAAGAGGAAATTTATTTTTGCCAGTTCTATTACATGATATATCTAGGAAAATGAATGTTTTTATATTTATTTTTATGCTTTTCTTGTTAAAGCTATTTCAGTTTAATGTTTTTTTGAATGTGAATTTCTAGTTTAGGACTCCATATAAAGCTACCAAATTTGCCAACTTTTTTAAAGTGTGTAGGAGGAGCAGGGAGGCAGGAGTGGGGATAGAGGGTCTTGCTGTGTAGCCCAGGCTGTCCTCAAAATCATTTTCCTGTATTCATCTCCCATGTGCTAGGATTACTGATATATACCACCATGTCCAGCTAGTTTAGAGCTGATGACAGTATTTATGGATTTCCCACTTTCAGACTTGATGGCAGGGGCAGGTTCTGACACACTGTAGAGGTTAGACTTTGCAGGGAGTACTTGTTCCTTTCTAAGGGGGTTTGCCTCCAGATCCCCACTGAAGCACATTCCAGGCTGGTTATAAATAGTTAGAACACTTTTTACAGGGCATGCTAAATACTGTAGTTATATTATTTTGTTTATTCAAAAAAAATCTGAAAGGACTGTCCATGTTTTATAGATGAACTGAAGCTTTCGGAGGGTAAGCACAGAAAGTATCCCATCGAGATGAGGCTGACATGTAAATCCAGTGACACTGTACTACTACCTGTTGGCGTTTGTGCCACGTGTTAATCCTACTAGGAGACAAGGAAGTGGGTAGGGTGGGGGAAGAGCATCCTATGGAGGCTGACCTGGGAGCTTTCCTACCTGAAGCCCATTGTGTCCTTTGTCTTATCCAGAGCTTTATTTCATGACTCTTAAAACAACAGAAGACTCTACGGCTTCATACTTGAATTCCTTGTCAGTATAGTAAATGAGATTTTGTTTTCATTAAATTATAACTCTTCCTCTCCATCTCCACAGAAAACATATTTGCATTGTTGAATTTTTAACCAAAATAATTGATAACATATATGCCTTTAGGTACTGGTATTACAGATAAATATTAGAATAAAATATTGTCATACAGTATGGTTATTAAAAGAACCAAGAATGTAAGTATACATTCATACAGAAGTACACTTTACAACAAAATGGATTATATACCATTAGTTAGTAAAACTCTCTATGGTCTTTTGGTTAGTATGCAAGGATGATTTCTTTCTGTTTAAATGGACTATAAAAACACAGTATTTACTAAAATAGAATTACTGCTTGGAAATTTCATGAACAAAAAGCCTTCTTGAGGGCCAGTGGCTGCAACGTAGTACAGGGCAGTGTCCCTTCTATGGAAGTGCAGATGGAGAATCTCATGTACAAAAAGACACCAGCTATGCAACTAAGTTCTTAATACTTACTAGAGACAGGAAGATCACTGTTACTGAGTGAGGTAAGCTGAAGTCAACAGCCTTGCCTCATCTGTTGTTCCTTTCTGACTGTCACCCCTGTCCTAGAGGTCACTGTGTCAGCTGATCCACAGTTGAGACTGAATGTCCTGTATGTCAAGGTCACACTTCCCTTTTTTCTCCACATTTAGGATGTAATGCATCATTTTGTTAGGGAGTTGGGAGGTCTTAGTGGCCTTCAGGTCTCTTCAGCCCTCTGTCAGAGACTCTTTGAATTGTATAGAAAGGTGGTCGTAGGTTTTTGCCTAACCCTGGGATATAGTGGTTGTCAGACAGCATTAGGAGCACTAGCTTCTTCCTACTCTGCTGCTTCTCAGAGGGAGGAACTGCTGTGAGCCTCATAGGCTCTAACGCTTGAAGACTGACGAGTTGAAAGTGGGGGAGTAAAACTGGAAAAGAGGCCCTTACTCATGAATGTTGGTACCAATAGAAGTGAGAATTAGTCAGGAGCAACTGGAACAAAATGGCTGATAGGAAGGTTGGAAGTTGTCACCCTTATTTGATTTTGCTTCTAAGGAAATACCAAAGAAGTTGAGTTTATACTACAAGTCCTGCTGTATATCTTGTTTTGTATATTTTGTTTGTTTTGTTTTTCAAGACAGGGTTTTTCTGTGGAGCTCTGGCTGTCCTGGGACTGCTTCTGTAGACCAGGCTAGCCTCAACTCAGAGATCCGCCTGCCTCTGCCTTGAGTTGTGGGATTAAAGGTGTGTACCACCACTGCCTGGCCCTGCTGTACATCTTAACATGGAATTCACAATTTACCTCTCCATGTTTGTGGTTTTCTGCATTCTCCAGATTTTGAAAGACCACTGACAAAAGATTAGAAAAAAAAAGAGGACTTTTACAAAAACCATTAATATATGTGACAGTAATTAAATAGCCTTTGGTTTAATAACAACCACCAGATTGGTATGCAGAAAACCCAAAATACTATATGTCAGTTTACTGTGAAATATTTCAGTTATTTCCTTATTGTGTGCTTGTTCCTAAAAACCTTGGCTGTGTGTTATTTTCAAGCTGCTTTGCCTCTAAGGAGTTGAAGAAGAAACAGTGGCATTTGGGCTGCCTTTATGATCATGGCCTTCTCATCCTCCTAATAATACTGCCAAGTAGGGTAGATTCCACACGATTGCTCTTAATCCATGGTATTAGCAAATCATGTAGGTGCTAATAACAAATCTGGATACAGTCCCCGATACAGGGATATAAAATGGGATGTAAGAGCCAGTTGCCATGAATGGTTAGCTAACTACATGTTATACAAAGAATGTTGACATTATGAAGTGTGGAAACGTGGTACTGAAGATGTGAACTCAAAACTTTGTGGATTTTTTGATGCCATGATAAAAATGTGAATAAAACTGTTCCTTCCCATGACTGTGGGGATACCAGTTTCTGTTAAACTGTCATTACTGATGCCAACAGCATTTCCCAGTGGGATTTAGATGCTAGCTAGTACTTGCACTTTGTATTTAAGAGATGTTAGATTTTGTTGTTGAAAGAGTAGAACACAAACTAGTTTTGTGCTGCTACAAATAATTTGACCATATATCTCTATAACACTGAAAACAGCCCAGTTGCTCAGGCGGTTAAAGGACATTTTTGTCTTTGAAGCCTCAAGTTCCATAAAACTAAGTATCAGTGTTCTTGTGACTGTAATATAAGATGTTAAACAATCTAAAAATACAGATTTTGCTTTAAATAATCTGTGATTTACTGTATACAAAGGGAGGTGTAGGTTACAGCTTTTATTTCTAAAAAAGAACCTATTTTAAATGTTTCTTGAGATCAGGGGATCTCAGTAAGAAACTGCTTTTGCTTTGACTATTTGTTAAAAAGGTAAAGATGTTTACTAAGTGTATATTTAACTGCTTTAGTCTTGTATATTAGAACTATTTATGTGATATAAAAATGGCTATTACCTATCTTTCCAAGACCTGTCTAACTACAGATGTTTTGTCCCTTCAAATTGAGATCCTTGTCTACAAGACCAGTCTAGAGAGAAAGAGGACATACTCATTTATGTAAACCTAAGAATATTCTACCATGTCTAGTTACTTTGATGCCTAGTTTTCTATATGCACTTCTGTCGAATGTTTCAGCTTTACTGTTTTTTGATGCATTCTCATCGTTCTTAGCTCAGTTGTGAATGTGTGTATCTGATGTGCAATTTATCATCCAATAAAAGTTATGTTGTGATGATAGCAGGTGGTGAACTTTTAAAATATATACTTTAAGGATTTTCTGTTGTAGTAAGGTAAATTTGAAACGGTTGGATAATACTCTAGAGAATATGAAAGAATGAATGATAAAGCAAATAGCATGTCCTGTTTCCCAGAATTCAGTATAAGAATCCAGCGTTACTGCAAGACTGCGCTAGATGTCTACCCACCTTCAGTCTTAGCTGCACGGTACAGGAAAGGTACCGCTGGCTTCTCTGGGCAACTGTCAAAAAGACAGGTTCCGCTGTGAAGAACTATGGTTAATAGTTATACTCTTACGGTTTCCCGTGGCTTCAGAGCAATCGTGGACCAGCCACGCAGCCACCAGGCGTACATGCTGGCGCTAATGCCAACCAGATGCCATTTGCCCCGCAAGCGGGTTGGGAAGCCGGAAGTTGAGGCCACTTACAGTGTTCCCTTCCATCAGCGCTTGTGCACTGCTCTGGCTGTTGAGGCTAAACATCTAGCGGTGAAGTTTGGTGAAGTAGGTGTGGTTGTCCCATGGCCACCCAACATGTCCAAGGTCTCAGGTTACTCAGGGCTGAGTCTGAGCGAGACTCTGCAAGAGGGAACAGTGCTGGACCAGAGGAGGCCGAGCTGGTGTGCTCTTCTGCTTGATTGGCTTTGAGATTGTCTGTCTGTGTTGCCCAGACTAACCATTGCCATATGTGTTCAAGCAGTCTTGATCCTCCTGGGCACCCCTCCAGAGTAGCTGAGTCTGGAAGCACAGCTGGTTCCTTGGAACGTTATTCTATCTAATGTGTTTCCGGTTAGTCAGAGTGTGTTCTTGGTTCACTTTGGGTAAATGGTTTCACCTGAATGATTTTAGCCACGTTTATGACTGCACAGACTTAATCTGATGTCAGTCCAGGTTTCTCCTCTGTTACACTTAAGTGCAATTCCTGTATTCAAGTACCTAAAACATTCTCCTTTGAACATTTTTGAGAAACCCAAATACCTATCCAAAACTGCATGCATTTAGCCTGTTGGCCTCCAGGACATGGTGCTCTGTCCACACAATTATACCTCCTTTCCTTCCCTCACACTGTGGTTTCAATGCCTGTCTCCCAAAATTCATATCCTAAAATCCTAGCTCCCGGGGGATAGTATTAGAAGGTGGGGGACTTTGGAAGGGTCATGAATGTGAACTCCTTATTTAGTTACCTTATAAAAGAAACTTCAGGGAACTTGCCAGCACTTGCCACCATGTGATGACCCATCAAGATGGCACTATCTATAAAAGGGCCCTTTCCAGATAATGGGGTCTGGAACTTCTCCGCCTCTAGGAATGTGAGAAACCAATCTCTTATCTATAAACTCCTCATCCATTCTTCCATGAATTTCTGTGACTATCTTACTATTCAAACATGCTTGGGATAGAATCCAGTGAAAAGGTGCTAGCATTACAAAACAAAAACTGAAGCAAAGAAAACCCCAAATGTTTCCCAAACGTGCTTCTCTACTTAATTGTCCTTACCTTTATCCAACCAGAGTAACTATCCATTCAGTTACGTAAAACAGTCAGGTACAGTTTGATGATGTCACCATTCAAAGACACATTCTACTGACATTCTGTTGTCCTTAGGATAACAGCTGAAGTCTTCAATGTGACCATTTCTGTTACTTCTCCAGCCATGCTATCTAACTACATGTGGATTTCCAGTTCAGTATACCAATTTCTTCCTTGAGAACTGTGCATATGTCCAAGGAACAGAGGTTGGCTTTAGGGCTTCAAACATTGCTAGGCTAGGTACTCAGTTCAGGCACTATTTTTTATAGAAACCACATGTCATAAAAGAGAAGGTAAGACTGTCTAAAAATTTGTGATGGTTTGAGTGAGAATGGCCCCCAGAGACTCATATATTTAAATGTTTGGTGTCTAGTTGGTAGACTGTTTAGGAAGGACCAGCTCCTCACTCCCACCCCTTTGGATTAGATGTAAGTTCTCAGCTCCTGCTCCAGACCATGCCTGCCCATCTGCCACCATGCTTCCTACCACGATGGAAATGGTCTAACCCTCTGAAACTCTAAGCGAACCCTCAATTAAATGCTTTCTTTTTTAAAAATTGCTTTGGCCATGGTATCTCCTCACAGGAATAGAACAATAACTAAGACAGAAACCCAAGAAAAATATAAAACAGTAACCATGTCAAGTGTTTCGTTGTCCCAGAAATTCAGGAGGCTGAGGCAGGAGGATGCTCGAGTCCAAGAATTTGGGGCCAGCCTAGGCAACACAGTGAGACACCATCAAGCCATACCAACCAAAGACCCAATTAGTAAAATAAGAAACAACAACCTGGAACTCAGACCTGTTCTTAACTGGCTGGCTATGTGGTGTGGATTCTGAACATTTGAGGACTTTTTCTTCCTAAAATAGTAACAACAATAGAAAAATACTCTCCCAAGTCTGTTGCATTAGATGAGTTCAGTCCTCACAACTTGGAAAAAAAAGTCTTGTATGTCTAGTAGTTACCAATATCTGTTGCTTATGAAGTAATCAATACCATCTTTATTTCAGTGGGAAAACATTTACTCCAAAAACTGAACAGCAGTACTAATTTAATAGATATTTAAATTTCTCTTAGGAACCATGAGCCATGCATAACTGGCTTAAGGAAGTCTGTGGGTCATGTCACCCAGCAGGCTTACAGGAACTGATGGGTCATGTCACCCAGCAGGCTTACAGGAACTGATAAATTGTGCTCCAGGGATCCTTAATTTCATTAATTCACAGGGATGCCAGGCTGTTTTATACTTTATACTGGCAATTTGGAAACTGAGAATTGAGTCCTTTGTATTTTGACAAATGACAGCTGTTTTCATTACAGATATGTACTGCTGGACATGGGTGTACATCAGTAATCCCAGCATTCCACTGGTTAAGACAGGAGGATTGCAGATTTGAGGCTAGCATGAGTTATGCAGGAGATTGTATCAACCCCCACTGTAAAAACAAAAACAGTTACACAAGAATGTATTTCAAAAGAATGGGGAAACTGTTTTCAGGTCATATATCTCATAAGGACTTCATCCCAGAATATTTAAAGAATTTTTACAACCCAGCAATAAAAATGACAGTCCATTTTCAAAGGGCCACAGTGATAGTTACGGTGGCTCACATCTGCAACCCCAGGACTCGAGGTTGAGGCCAGAAGATTGCTGCAAGCCTGGCCAGCCTAAGCTACAGAGCAAGACTCCTGCTTGAAAACAACAAAGATCAAAGGATTTGGCAAACAGAGGTAGGAGCATTATCTCAAATTCATGGCCAGCCTGATTTATATAGTGAGTTGTAGGCCAGCCAGAACTATACAGCAAGAACCTGTCTCAAAACACCAGAGGGGAGAGGAATTTTAAATAGCCATTTCATCAAAGCAAATATAAAGACAAGAAACAAATACATCATTAGTTATCAGGAAAAAGAAAATCAAGATCACAAGAGACGACTTTACTCTGACTGAGATAGCAATAATCACAAAGATTCCAGGAAAACTAGACATAGTGACACATGCCTGTAATCCTCACACTTGGGAGGTAGAGGCAGGAAGATCAAGATCAGCTAGGATGGTGAGTTCTTATGCCAGACCTGAGAGCTGCCTCAGAAAGCCAAAATCTGAAATAAATTATATTGAAGGTGTGGAGAAACTGGAACTCTCGTACATTGCTGGTCAAAATGTAAAGTGTAGTGTAGCCACTTTGGAAAACAGTTTGATTTTTCCTAGAAGAGCTAAATAAAGTTATATGACCTAGCAATGACCTTTGGTCAACCTTTAGGCATGTACCCATGAGGAATGAAACACAAAAACTTGAATATAATAGCATTGCTCTATTCACAATAAACAGGGTGCAATTACACAATTTCATCAACCCATAGATAGACTCACACTCTCTCATACAACACAACAGGACTAGGGAAGAAAGCTCTGACATATGCCACAGTGTGCACAGAAGATACTGTGCTCCAGAGGCATAAGCTGTGACAGGAGCAGGCAATGACTGCTAATGCTCAAGGGTACTTCTCTGTGACACTGACAATATCCTAAAATGAGACTGTAGCGACAGATACACAGCTCTAAATACTGTATTGTAACCACTGAACTGTATGCTATAAATGCACAAGTTTTCTGGTACACGTAATACTTCAATGAAGCAATAAAAGAAACATTTTAGTTTTGGGAACAGTTGGAGGGAAAATTTAACAGTCTTCTGCACTGTGAGGAGTCACTGCCAATTTTATTGAGAGAGAGTTGTATTGTGGGATTAGTTTACACCTTACCTGCTAGATATGAAAAAATGTTCTTTTGTTGTAAAGACCTCCACTACCTGTCAATGTTTCCCTTCTCCTTGGGTCTCCCTGGGCTAACTCAGGGATCAAACACTGAAAGCAAGAGTCACTCCTAAGCTGACACCAGTATGTGCTAGGCAGGACCCAGAGATATGACAGAATCTATGGGATGGGTAGGAGCCAGAGCTGTATGTGAAAGGAGAAAGGTCATTTTCTTATGTTGGGGTTCAGCGAACCCCACACTGGCCACAAGGAAAGTAGGTCAAGATTCTGTGCCGAGGCTCTGGTGAAGCATGAATAGGCAAAGGAGAAGCAGGAACTCCTACACCTGAATGCGGTACCCAAGAGCCCTCTGTGCCATCGGATCCTCACTGCCATCAGTCTGGAGGTGAGCCTCATGCACAGGACAACTGGACTGGGGGCAGGCAGGCAAGGCAGCAGCATGGCTTTGACACCTTTTGGAAAGGAAAAACGTTATCTGAGTTTGTGACATAAATTAAAGGTTTGAGCCAGGCAGTGGTGGCGCACGCCTTTAATCCTGGCACTTGGGAGGCAGAGGCAAGCGGATTTCTGAGTTTGAGGCCAGCCTGGTCTACAGAGTGAGTTCCAGGACAGCCAGGGCTACACAGAGAAACCCTGTCTCGAAAAAACAAAAAAAGAAAAAAAAATTAAAGGTTTGAACAGGTGCCCAAAGACGGTAAACGATTACTGATGTGTAGTCTGAAGAGAGGAAACATACTATGTAAGTTCCCAAGTAGCAAAACTCTAGCAAGTGTTCTATGCCAACTAACCCTTACAAACAATCCTATGTTCCTCTTCTTTGTGGAGATCCCCTTTTAGTGACCAAGTTGACCCAAGATACACAGGCATGGTAAGTAGGCCAAATGATGGCCCTCCACATACATTCACATTCTAATCCTTGGAACCAGCAGATGTTCCCTTAAATGGCAAAAGGAATGTTTCATGAGTATTACTGAAGATCTTGAGATGTGGAGATTATCCTGATATACCCAGTATAAGCATCCTTCTATCAGAGTCACAGGAAGGCCAGAGTTAGACAAGTTTAGGCAAGACAGAGAGTCAAAGAATGTACTTTGAGGATAAAGGGGCCATGAGTCTAAGAATGCAGGGGGCTGGTAGAAGCTGAAAAAGTCAAGGAAATGAATTTACCTCTCAGATTCTCCAAAGGGAAAAACCCTGCCCAAGGAGATTTTGGCTGAAGCTGATTTCAGACATTTAACTTCCAGCAGTATAAGAGAAGTTTTGTGTTAAGCCACTAAGTTTCTGCTCAGTTGTTATAGCACCAGTTGAAAACAAATCAGACATGACTAAGAAGTTACATCAATACAGCAGTGAAGGTGGCCTAGAGGAAAGTGTGTGTATACAAACTATAACGGCTCTGGCCAGTAATGGTATGTGGCCCGGGGAAGAGGTAAGGCCAAGCTGAATATTGAAGATAAACGCAGTGACTTGATATTGATGCCTTCAGAAGAATGGCCACCATGACCTATATATCTATCTGCCTGAACGAAGAGAGAGGATGCCTTCCCTGAGGGTGTTGGCTGACTGGCCTCTACCCTCTACTTTAAGAAAACAAGAGTTTGGCATGGGAAAGTGTCCCAGGCCCAGTTCTGGAACTCTAACATTTTATATAAATATAGTATTCTGTCATTTTTAAAATGCTATGGAGGTATAATTTACCTATCATAAATTAATCTATTTCAATAATTTTCCTGGAGTCACTTAATTGTGTAACCATCCCTATAACCTAATTGTAAACACTGTGAACATGCTAGTCACAGTTTTAAAGCTAACGGCTTATTTGAGAACAGGTAGAATTCCCCTGTCTGCCAGAGCAGTACTTACTTCTGGTAGCTTTCCCTTATATCATGGGCTGGAGTTGGAACACCTTTTGTAAATCAAAAGTGCTTTGATATAAAAAGTTACCTCAAGTATAATTTAAATAAAAGTACTTAGAAACTGCTAATCACATAAATACATATATATTGTCTTTTGTTAAATTAGTAACAGCAGGGTGTGGGGTCACACACCTTTTTACCAGCACTTAGAAGGCAGAGGCAGGTGGAGCTCTTGAGTTCCAGGCCAGCCTGGTCTACAGGTTGAGTTCTAGCACCACCAGGTGCTAGACAGACCAGAGAGACCTGTCTTAAAAATAAATAAGTAAAAACCACCACCACTACCACCACCATCAAAAAAGTTAGTAGCAGAAAGACTATTAGAGGACTATTTCCAGTGAAGGTTTTCTTGGCATTCTCATGAACTGCTCAAGTGTGCAGATGAAAACAACTGTCTTTTAGAAGATAAAAGCAACAAGGAGATTTAATTAAGGATTAATTAATCAAAGCCACTTGCAGCTCATCCTGACTATTCCCCAGTAACTAGTCCCCACTCTGCTGAGACTGCAGCTCTCTTTTTCCCCCAACACCCGGATCAGCCATCCTCACACACTGGCCCCACTGGCCTCTTTTTGAACTCCTTACCAGTTGAATATTCACCTATAATTCTATAAGTCACAACGAAACTCTGACTTATAGGCAAGTAAGAGAAGGGAGAGACCAGAAGCCCTTCCCTAGGACTCTACAGCACACAGCATCGCTTCAGTGCCCATGGTGGAGCCTGTGGTGCTGGTGGAGGTTTGAGCTTTGGCGGAAGCATTTGCCACAGTGGCTGCACTGGTATGGCTTCTCCCCAGTGTGGATTCTCTGGTGCAGTTTCAGAGTCGACTGTCTCCCAAAGCAGTTTCCGCACTCCCCACAGATGTAGGGTCTCTCCCCGGTGTGCACTCGCCTGTGTCGCTTCAGCTCAGAATTCCACGTGAAGCTCTTCCCACAGTCGTCACAGCTGTAAGGTTTCTTGGCTGGGTGGGCTGCCTGGTGACCAAGACGCTGCAGAAGGCTGCTCAGGCTTCTTTGGCCTCTTCTTCTCTTTAATTCTCTCAGCAGGTGGCCTCTAAGGGGGTTGCTGAAATATTCCAGCTCTCTGCAACGTCTCTGGTAGTGGGCAAGTGGCTTGAGAGACTGTGGGGTTCTGACTTGCCACTGCAGCAATCGGGGGTCACTTGCCGTCACCCCTCCTGGCTCAGGGCTTTGCATGGTACCCCCTTTAGGTCTTCCACGTAAGACTGTGCATACCTTTGTTCCTCTTGCTCCCTCCTGTTGTGGATTTTCCTTGTCGTCACTTCTCACTCTGGAGGACTCTGTAATTAGAAATAATATGCTTTGTTTTCTGCAATTAGAAGAAAGAACTCCAGGAAAAGAAGTTTAACTATGTTGTGAGGTTTGTCAGAGGGTAGGCAGCCTTCTGTTGATGGCATGTGTGCATTAGCCTCCTCTAGACCCATCAACAAGGGGTTCCTCACCTTTGACATTGATGAGCCAGAATCTCTGAGGCTTAGGCCTGGGAATCTGCACAGTTAGTTCCTGGGAGTGTCCCTATTTTATAGTAAAGCTAGGAACCAAATTCTCCTTCTGTCCTTCCAATCTTTAAGAAAAGGTATAGGAAAACAGAATAGAGAAAAATCAGAACAAAATATCAATAATGAAGAAGGAGAACAACTGGCTGGTTATTTATTTACAGGGTCTATCTATCACTTAGGTCAATTTCAAACTCTAGGGCCACAGTAATCCTTCAAGTAGCTGGGACCACAGACATCCACCACTGCACCTGGCTAAACTCGGGTTAACATTCCAGTACTTAAAACAATTATTTGAATAAATATCCCTCCCTTCCATGGACAGAGACTGACAGCTTCCTTCACTTCAAAGGGTGATAAATCCAGTGACTGTATTGCTTTTCTCATTATACTGCTGACAGCCTAAGTATTTAGAAAATGGGATACAGATTAGATACATATCCTAGTTAAAGAAACGGTCCACCTTCTGACAGGACTGAGGATCACGATGGAGCTGAGCTGGACCAGGCCAGGGAAATGGAGACTTTGGAAAGTTTGTTCTCATGAGCTGTATACACACTCACCATGGCCACCAGACAGATGTGACTGCTGAACATTTGAAACGCCTAACATGGCTGGGGAATTGAATTTTGAAGAATAATATTCATTTAACATGTAATGAGGAACTCAGACAGTCATTGCTAAGTGATTTCATCAAGGTTTTGCTCCACTCACTTTCTGAGACAGGGTCTCACACAGCCCAGGCTAGTCTCAAACTCACCACATAACTGAAGATGATGGTAAGCACCTGACTTGCCTCCCCCTCCCAAGTGCTGAGATCCTAGGCGGTCATCACCATGTCTGCCTTCATCAAGGCTCTTAAGAACAAGTCAATGGGAAAGGAATCATTTTTTTCTGGATTCCTGGAATCACTAGATTCTCACAAGCTTCAGAGAATCCCAGTCTGACTGAACATCTACTCAAATTTATGTGTTGTCAATCCCCAATGTAGAACTATCAGGAGTTGACTGGGTCATAAGGATGGAGCCCTCATGAATGGAATTAGTGCCTTGTCAAAAAGATGAAAAGCCTTGTTTGCAGTTCTACTTTTCAGCCACATGGACACATGGCAAGTGCTGCCTTATGGTCCTCAGACACTGCATCTGGTGGTACCAACTTTGGACTTCTTTGTGTGCGTTACAGTGTGTAAGTATGGTGCATTTGCTTGTGTGTGCCTCACTAAAGCACAAGTGAAGAGGCCAGAAGTAGGTGTCTAATGTCCTGTCACTCTGCTTAATTCTCAAGACAGGGTCTCCTCACTGACCCTGAGTTAAACCTTCCTGTCTCCTGCCACTGCCCTCCCCCTGCTCCCGTCACCGATAGTACAGAAGCACACAACCAGGCCTATCCATATGGGTTCTAGGGATTTGAACTCAGCAAACACTTTTGCCCACTAAGCCAACTGCCCAGCTGACCTTGGGCTTAACTTTTACTGTTAACAATAAATTTGTTGTCCAGTCTAAAGTTTTAGTAACCTTAGTAATTCATACAAAATTATCACATACAAAACCAAAAAAACTCAAAGTGAATGGAAGAAGTAAACAACTCTTTAGAGAACATATCTGTGACTCTGAATCATTGGGTAATGGTATTTTAGCTAGGACTCCAAAAGCCAAAGCAAAGAAAAAAAGTCAGAATATCGACATGAAAACCCTGGGCTGGTGAGATGGCTCAGAGGGTAATGGCACCCCTGGCCAAGCCTAAGGACCTGATGTGACCCCTGGGACCAACATTGTGGGAGGAGACAACTGTATCTCTGATTTCCACATATGGACATGTAATGTGTATGCCCATACATACAGACAGGTACACACAAAATAAGTAAGAATGTAATACAAATTTTTAAAAAACATAAAAAAACATTTGTTCTTCATGGAATACCATCAAAAAAAAAAAACTAAAAAAGATAATTCACAGAATGAGAGAAAACATTCATAAATTATCATCTGTGAGGTCTAGGATCCAAAACACTTTTTTAATTCTTAAACTTCAACAATAAAAATACAAATCTCCCATTAAAAACAGACAAAGTATACGACTATAATTTTTCTATAAGCTGGGAGTAATGGGAAAGGCCTCTTGTCACAGGATCTAGGAGGTGAGGCTAGAGGATCAGTTCAATCAGCACTTGCCATGTGTCCTCAGATCTGTAGTGGCTTCGAAGCCAGCCTAGGCTACCTGAGACCTGATAACTAAAGACAAGATATCCGTTTCTCTCTCTCTCTCTGTGTGTGTGTTGGTCCCACGAAGGCTGGACGCCGTGTGAGGGGGAATTCGAGGGTGGGGAGGTGGGAGTTGGGGGGGGTAGGTTGAGGTACATCTTCATAGAAGAAGGAGGAGGGGGGATGGGATAGGGAGCTCCTGGGCGGGGGTTGGGGGGATAGGGTAAGGGGAGAACATCTGAAATGTAAATAAAATATCCAATAAAAAAATAAATAAAAACAGAAAAAAAAGATGGTTGTATGATTGTGTGTGTGTTAGGGATGGTTGTTTGTATGATTGTGTGTTTGTGTGTGTATGTTAGGGATGGCTGCTTGTATGACAAAGCATGTGTGGAGGTCAGAGGACACACTTTACAGGAGTGATTCTCTCCTTCCATTCTGTGGGCCCCAGGGATTGAACTCAGGTTGTCAAACTTGGTGGCAAGTGCCTTTACCCACAGAGCCATCTCACTGGCCAGGGTATATAATTTAATAAACATGAAATAATGCTAAACACAACTCATTAGAGAAATGAAAATCGAAACCTCAAGGGATATTACATCATAATAAAACAGCCGGGAGAAATGCTGGCGGGGACATGGAGAAGCACCCTCTGCTCTGTGGATAGGACGCTTTGATGGCACAGCCACTTTACAAACTAATCCAGTAATTCTTCAACAAAAACCAAACAAGCAAAAAACCCAAACAGGCTGGGGATGGTAATGCAGGCATTTAATCCCAGCACTTGGGAAGCAGAAGCAGGTGGATCTGTGTGAATTCAAGGGCCAGTCCGGTCTACATAATGAATTCTAGACCAGCCTGAGCTGCATAGTAAGACACTGTCTCAAAAAAGAAAAAAAAAAGTTATCATATGTAATTTTAAAAGGCCAAGAAAATGGGTTAGTAAATAAAGGCCCTGTCTACTCAAGCCCAGAGCCCAGAGTCTGATCTCTACAATCCAAACAAAGGCAGAAGGAAAGACATGATTCCACGAAGTTGTCCTTTGACCTCCATATGTACACTGTGGCACCCCACCCCCAGTGATGGAAATGGGCTGGTGAGAGAGCCAAGAATCCAGAGTAGTTACCTGTCTCAGTCAATCTGAGGACTGGTTCCTGGAGGAGAGACTTCTCCCAGTGGTGAGGACTCAGCTGCTCATGAGATCCTTCCCAGGAAGGCTCTTCTAGAGAGTTCTCCTGAATATCTCTGCTAGGAGTTTGGGGTTGAAAGTCTCGAAGTTCTGGTTCTACGAGTTGAGCTCCTGTTTTCTCTAAGAGCACCTTTTGCCCTTGCATACAAACGGTCACCTGGGAAAAGGGCTATCCATTAATTCTCCATTCCGTGAAGGACGAGAGCAACATGCCACTCACTGCTAACAGAGTGACCCTTTACCCTGGGGAGACCTGGTAATGACCTAGAGTCCAAATTCCATAGAGACCACCAAAAGGAGGTGGAGGGAAGGCATGCGGAGGAAATAGCCAACACTTCCCAGGTAGTGCCCACAGCTTGAGCCAAGATCATAAAGAGAGCTGGCAAAGATACCAGAATCATCATGAACAATGCTCCCCAGATCTCCAGCCTCTCTGCTGCTAGAGACAGGCCCCGTGGGAACAGAACCAGTATGGTAAGGGGCCACTGAACACCGTTCCAACTTGGTAAGTTCTGAGGGCCAGGATACTCTGATCCAACAAGGCTGCCCCACCTGTTTGCTCATCTTACTTGCTTCCCTCTCAGCTCCAGCTGGGGTTTCACTGGGGAAGGGGTGGTGTGAGACGACTGGACAGACAGCAACAAGCCGAGAACTGAGCTGAGACTTCCCCATTCAAAGGCAACATGGTAGACGCTTCACAGGAACCAAGTCCACAGAGCTTCACCAAAATTAGTTTCCTATGGAACTGGCTAGACCTGAGAATTCTGACTGTAGCAAAGCTTCAAGATACGGGTCAGGGAAGACCTGACAGTAGAGATTCCTTAAAACTACTCTTAAAAGGCTACGGGGTCTCTGCTGCCTCACTGCGTACCTGTGCTCACTGGCTCAGTTTTCTGAAACCCTATTACAATTCGGGGGTGGGGATAAGGGGAGTTCCTCCGGGCTAGAAGCAACTTTTGATGTCATCCATTCCTCTGGAATCTCTAACTAGGGATCATGGATCATGAGACAAAACACTACTTCAAAAAGACAACGAAGACATTACCTAGGACCCACAGAGAAAGGACCCTTCTTACCCACTGCTTTGGTTTTTTGGATGCTCTGTGCAAATCTTCCACCAGAGTCACAACGTCCCTGCTGCTCTTTGGATACCGATGCCAGACTTGTGCCTGGATCTCTGGAGGTAGGATGACCAGAAACTGCTCCATCACTAGGAGCTCCAAAATCTGCTCTTTAGTGTGTAGTTCAGGCTGCAGCCACTGTCTGCAGAGCTGTCGAAGGCAGGAGAGCGCTTCCTGGGGCCCAGACACTTCTTGATAACAAAAGTGTCTGAAGCTCTGGCGGGAAAGCTCAGGATCAGGATATTGCTGAGGGGGGCCACGTTTTTCTTCCAGCTTCATTATGTGTCTCTCTTGCTTGTCAGAATCCTCAGTGTGGGTACTCAAAGCTATCTCCATTTTAGCTGCCATTTTGGGGGCTGTGGGAACAATGTCACTCTAATCGTAAACTGATTACGTCTTCTGGGTCATTGCTCTGGAGAAATCTGATGGCTAGAAAAATGTTAGGAACGAAGCTCCTCTGGAGGTGTTAGGGAAGGGCCGCAAAGACATAGCTTTCTCATTTGCTAGTCTTTATCCCAGACTCTGAAAACAAGATAGTTCCTAGTCTTTTCGTCAATTTTTAAGGAGAAAAGTCATAATATCCCAAAAGAGCACTGGAGGGAGTATTTTATTTTGGTATTTGGCGAAATTCACAACACGATCTAACGGACTGGTAGAGGAATCCCCAGGGAAAGTTTAAGCTATCTTGCAGGTAGCTCGCACCAACTCTCCGGCATCTGGCAGACACCGACCTGATCCAGTATCTCTGAGTGAAGCAGAGCCAAGGCCACGACGCGGCTACAGCGTGGGTTAGGGGTAGAGAGTGCGGCTCCGCGGCCCAGCCAGCTCGGCCTGGTGAGGTTGCGGCAAGGGGACACGCAGCTCCTTGGGTGTCAGTTCCAGTAGCCACCTGCGACACCACGTTCTGAGGCAGCTCAGAAGCCAGCCCACCTGCAGGTGACCCAGCTTTCCAGAGACTGGACTCCGGGAACCCTAGAGCACAGGCAAGGGGCGGGGCTGGAGCCAGGCCGCGGAGACGCCCACTGGCTCCAAGAGCTACCATGGGAAGGCCCGCCTCTCCTTTACAGGATTGGGTCTCCGGGACATCGGTAATCGTTTATTAGCTGTTCGATCTATCAATCAATCGCAGTGCTTCCTGGGAGTCGTAGTCCAGTGGCGAGTCTGGGCGCGTGCAATGGGCTGTCAATGCCCAGATAGTTGGCCATCACTTGGTTGGTGGAGGGAATTTGAGGGAGCGGAAAGTGAGGAGTCGAGCGAGTCCTCCATATGGTTGGCTTCAGGTCAGATCTCACATTGGCCGGGAGGCCTTTCCCCTTAGGACACATCTGTAGGGTTCTTGAAGCAGGACCCAGGGGGTTGGACGAAAGCGCTAAAAACCCATTCCCCACAGCAGGATCTTAACTTTCTCTGACCTCACCTCTAGGGTTTTTCCTACTCTGTATGATCAAACCCTTGCATATGACTCAACGAATGCTAATAAATAGGGGGGAAAAGTAGTTTACCCACTGCAAGGGCTGTCTTCAGAGTCTGGGATAAATAAAGGCTGACAACTTGGTACCATCTACGATATGCAAGGGCCGGGGACCACTCCCTGTGTTTACAATCAATGAAGCAATAATTCAGCGACGAATGGAACATGAGGAGTCAGTGTGGGAGTCATGAAATCAGGAATCATTAAATCTCTTAGATGTTCTTGAATATCACGAGGTACAGGATATGTGAGAAAGTGTAAGGCAACTACAACTTCTATCATTGAAGATCACCCTTAACTTTTTCACACACTTCTTCGTTATGCTTGAAGACTTTAGACCTCTCCCCACATACTAACATCTTAACATTTCCAAAAAATCGTTTCTCCTGTGTTTTTGCCTTTCTTCCGCGGCTCTTTTTTATTTTTAATTTCTTTTTAGATGTATGGTGTTTTGTGTGTATCTATGACTGTGTGTGCCATGTGCATGCCTGGTGCCCATGAACGCCAGAAGAGAATGTTGGAATCCCCTGAAACTGGAGAGTTGTAAGCTGTCATGTGGGTGCTGGGAATCAAACTCAGATCCTCTGGAAAAGCAGCCAGTGCTCTATATAGTGATCCATCTCTCTAGTTCCTTTTATTTTTAATCCTTATATAATTTTTTTTAATTGTTTTGAGACTTCTCACAATGTAGCCCAGTATATAATCCTTCAATCTCTGCTTCCCCAGTGCTGGATTATAGGCATGGGCAAGCACGCTCTAGAAAACATCTAACTTTTTTTTTTTTCTTGAAGCTGGTAGATGGCTCAGTTGATACGGTGCTTGCCACAGAAGCATGAGGACCCATGTGAGAAATCTGGATGAGGTGATGAGCTCTTGTCCTCTCAATGCTAGGGAGGCGGAGGGAGAGCAGGGAGAGCATTGGAACTCCCTCCTACCTACCTAGCCAAGGTGCTAATTTCTAGGCCAATGAGAGACCCTGCCTCAAAATAACAAGGTTGGGAGAAAAAAGAAAAAAGCAAGAGGCAGGCACTTCTGCTCTTCTAGAAGATATGAGTTGCATTCCAAGCACTGTGTCCGACAGTTCACAATCACATATAGCTCCAAGTTCCGGGGCCCCAACACCTCTGGCCCCCACTGCTGCCGCAATGTACCCACATACAGGCACGCACACCGACATATAATTAAAAGGAGTACATAAATATTTAAAAAGTTTAAAAAGCAGCTGGGTATAGTGGCACATGTCTTTAATCCCAGCACTCAAGAGGCAGAGGCAGGCTGATCTCTGTGAGTTCATGGCCAGCCTAGCCTACATACTGAGTCCTAGAACAGCCCAGGCTACATAGGAGGACTCTATCTTGAGAAGAACAAAAAAAGTATTAAAAGCAAGTAACAAACTGCAGAGCCCTGCATGGCCCTCCCTGGTGGGGACAGAGTGACATGGTGCCTGCTCCTAGCTTATCATTCGTGCTTAACAAAAGCAGACCAATCTCTGAATTCTTTTGCGCTGTTAAGAAAAAAAAAATGTATGCTCACTGTCTCTTAAGAATCAAAGGGTTGGGGTCACAGAATGCTGATTCATAAGATAATCAAAAGGAAACCTGGAGTTAATGACTGGATTAATATGTAAAATGAAAGGCTAGACCTGTGTTCCGCAGGACATGAGCTCTCCAGAGAATTTTTTTTTAGGATAAAAAGAGAGAACTGCTGTGGTTCTGCATTCTGTCTTGCCGCTGGGGTGTGTGAATCCCTCTAGAACAGACGAAATATGGGGTGCTAGGGTGCACTTCACCCTACACCCTATCAGGGTTGGGCTTTCGGGAAGCACTGATACACCATTCAGGGGGCGGGGGAGTGTAGCCTAAGATGGGGACCCCAGCTTGGGTGAGAAATGAGGCCAGCTGAGGCCAAGGAGGCTTCCCAGACACCCTGGTGTCCAGTTGCTGGTGTCAGAAGAAGGGGGGCACTCGGCCGCTAGGATGAGCCCTGGGGGAAGAAGGGGAGATGCTGGCTTTGCTTAGCAGAGGGGCGGCTCAGCTATTTGTGTAGAAGGCTTTCCCCAGGGCAGTTCTTGATGGGGGAGAGAGAGTCCTCGGTTCCAAATTGTTTATTGATTGTTCTTCATGGAGAATAGGTACATACCACTTCCTCAGGGTGGACCAGAGATTAAATACCTTTTACAGGAAGGAATGTCCGGAAAGGGAAGTTCATTGGTTAAACCCTCAGTGCCCATCTAGATACCATTAGCATTAGCATGGAGAACTCTGTGTTGTGTACCGTGTGATTAGTGGTCTTGTTCTTTATGTGGGGAGTTGTGGTCACTTGTTCCAGGTCAGGAATCTGGTTGGGAGCAGGTGAAACACCTATTGTCCTCAGGTATGACGGTACCAGGGTTTCTGAACCGACTTCAACCTTACCAACTTTTCTGGCATGGTCCACTGCCCCACAGACTGCTTGGAGAACTGTCAGACAGACAGACAAACAGACAGACAGACACACACACACACAAACTCACACACACACAAACACACACAAAAGCAAGCAGAACACGGGCAGAGAGATCTCTTAGAATAGCAAGTAGAACACAGGTTGTGAGCTTGTATCCATGATTGGACTTTGAGTAGTCCTTTTCACCACTCCCAGACACTCCGTCTCTCATAACCTCTCTCCATGCTGAGAGCTGGTTCTTGTCAACAAACAAAAACCTAATCAAGATGTCTGCTAAGAGAGTGTTTAAAAATAATTCTTGACCCTTTCCCCCAGCACCAGGAGTGAGGGGGGGGAGGGGAGCCACACAAGGTCACAAAGGTGTGTGGAGGGAGGGGGTGACACAAGGTGAACAGCTCCTGAGAAATGATCTGCACAGGTGACCTTTGGCCTATAAAAACATAAACAAATAGAAACACATAGAAAAAAATTTAGGTAAAATTAATATAGCATAAAATTAACCAATATAGAGTGAGCAATTATGGTGTTATTTACAATGTTGTATAACTACTCTATCTAGTTATAAAACCTTCTCACTACCCTAAAGGAAAACGTTGTACCTGCCCCTGGCTCCTATTATGTCTGAAGTTACCTGTCCTCATGTATGTATGTATGTATGTATGTATGTATGTATGACTAGTACAAAGTTTCATGTTTCTATACTTTTTTCTTTTTCCAGAGAGCAATTTGACTGGGTGTATTTCTAGACAGTCTTAAAGTCAATTCACGACTTATCCACTTACTTGAAAATGGTCTCTGGTGCTTGCTAAGTAAATCCTGTGTTCAGGTGCAACAGAATGAGAGTAGGTGCTTCCCACTTTGCAGAAAAATCAACTCCAAAGAGACCAAAGACCGTAACATAAGAATGAAAATTGAAAATGCTAGAGGAAAAGGAGGGGAAACACCCCAAGCTGTGAGCACAGGCACAGTGCTTTCTGAGAACACTCCAGTTGCTCAGGAAATACATTGTTGACAAATCGGACCTCATGATATTAAAAAGCCAAGCAGCTGCCAATCAAACAGCTACCCCTTCTAATTGTCAACATGATAACCATGACTGTCTTGACAACACCTCACAGGTGCTTGGAAACCTCCAATCCTCTTGGATAGTCCACGGAAACTTCAGTTGAGGTTCAGATGCCCAGCAGAGACTTCATTACAGCCCAGAGAGCACCCAGCTGTTACTGCCACAGACAACTGCAACTTTGCCCTGGAGGTGGGGTGGGGGGAACTCTGCTTTAGTCAGGGCTGCTCCAGAGATGCTATGGTTCTGAAGGTGCTCCTTCCAAACGGGGACTGCTATGATGTTCCTGGGTGGTGTCATCTAAAAGTCTCCTAATGTAGGCTGCCTCACTTTCTGTGAGGATAGTGATGCTGGGGTTGCAGCTGCTGCAAGACCTTCAGGGGCTACTGGAGTACTGTTTACAGCCCCTCCCAACTCA